AGTACTCTAGTGGGCAATAAAACAATAGCGCATTGCTATAAATGCTTATCAATAAATAAGAACGCAGTTAACTTTGACTAATAAAACACAATAAGTATTCTTCTTATGTAGCAGAGCGGATCACAATTGAATATTAAATGAGATGTACAGACTAAACTATGTATACAAAATACAATGGCCATGATTTGATTTTATTCATTACGTTATTTCTAATAAACAAATAGCTAAATATTATTATATTAATAGAATTTAGTTTAAAAATACTAAATTCTGTAGGTATATTATGTAGTAAGTTGCCGCGTGGTCTCGGAATAGAATAGGCCACGGGACGACTAAGGGAGGGCGAGAGGTTGGCAGCAGCGTCCCTCTTAAAACATCTACTAAGCCTAACTGCGGTTGCCAATCCACCTGCCAAAAGTGGCAACTACTGGCAAAGCCCCCTAAGGGGAAACGTTATGTTTAGCAGTGGACAGTTAAAGACTGATATGATGATGATGATATAGTAAATATCTATAACAGATTATTATTTAAAAAAAAAATAGCAGTAAATCTCGCATGCAGTAAGCACTGTAAATATTTACATTTAAGTCAAAAAACAAATAAAAAGAAATTTTAAAATTTCTACATTTTTAAATCAATAGCATTAGTAGTTGCTGAGATATAGCGCTGTGACATATGAATGGACGGATAAAGTCGCACCATAGGAGTTCCTTTGTACCTTTTTGGTACGGAATCCTAAAAACCAAATAAGCTGGACTCTGGGTTCAGTTGTTGTCATTATTATCCCTAGCTCTCATAGATAAGAAGCAAACTAATAAAAAGATATAATGACCTCCAAAGCCTCAAACTTCCTTATGTGAGACTTTAGATGTCATACACTTCTCATACATTGATCAAGCGATGTAGTCATTCGCCACATTTCTAGTATAGAAGGGCTATCTAGTTTGAAGTCGATACACTCACAATCTACATGGAACTCAAGCGAATTGTCATATAAGCTATGTTACTATCATAGATTAATAATAGTACCTGCCTAATTGAAAATAGTTTTGGACACTTATTTGGAAATAACATTGGAGATATTAAAATATTTAATATACAATGGCGAACTTATCCCATAGAGGGATATGGAGGATTGACAGGATGAACATGGTTAACAAAAAATAATTTAAAAATTAATTTACTTAAAACAAAAATAATTCATTTCAAAACTTATTCAAGCCCCAGCCTTGACCTAAATATAAATTACAAAAATAATAATATAGAAGTAGTGGATTCCAACTTTTTTAGGTATCACGTTAGATAAACACTTAAATTGGAAGAAACACGTTGATAATGTTTGTAAAAAAATTAATAAATTTGTATTTGCATTGTATAAATTGCGCCAGATTGCAACACACAGACTGCTCTTAGTGCATATCATGGATTCGTTTCATCGGCACTTAGTTATGGTTTGATTATTTGGGGGAATTCGCCTGACATAGAAAGAGTCCTCAAAGCGCAAAAAAAATGTATAAGGGCTATTAGCAATGTGGGGTGCCAGGAATCTTGTAGGCCATTATTTAAAAAATTAGGAATCCTTCCCCTGACTTGCATGTATATATTTGCTATATGTACTTTTATTAAGCAACACCCTGAATTATTTAATACATGTGGACAACTCAAAGAAGGCATTAGATCACACAGAAAAAATAAACTTGTGATACCAAAAAGTAATTTGACCTTGTACCAAAAGAATGTTTCATTTATGGCCCAAAAAATATATAATAAACTTCCTTCAGATCTTTTAGACCTTCCCTTGAAAATATTTAAGAAACGGCTTCATCTATGGCTTCTGGATAAGGTCTTTTACAGTATGGGAGAATATTATGCCTACACATCCCAAAAATAGTTAACATAATTATTAATAATATAAATCCTTAAGACTTGACATAAATTTGCTATTGACATAACATATGGAATGTAATTTGTATTTCATTAATAATAATAATGTAATTGTTAATTTTATTTGACGATATTGAATATGTAATTTGACTTGATAATTGTTTGAGCATTGTTTTCTTTTTTTTATTATTCTATGATCATAATAATGTATTAGTATAAATTAAATTTGTATCCTTATTTAAGGAATAAATTAGATTTGCATGCCTACAATTTTAAGGCAATTAGACAGATGCCAAAAAGTTGTGTCACATGGCCCTTATAATGTCAAATGTCTGTTTAAAGCAAATAAATATTTCATTTCATTTCATTTCATTTCATTAACAGTCAACTTTAGAGAATGTGAGAGAAAACTATAGAATGTTCAACGGTAAAAATTGTACAGCTAAAAATAAACTCAATAGTACCTAGTTAAAATTGAACATTTAATACAATAAAAACTATGTAAATAATTATTATTATAAACGTACACACACCTAGGTATATCCATCTATCCCTAGGTATAGCCATCTTCAAGTTACTAGGAAGTTAATACCAGAGACATGCAGCATGTACTTGTGACTTGGCATAGCTTTGACTATTAAAACAAGGCAAATCCATAATGAAGTCATTTCTACATCTCAGGCAGACGTCAATTTTACAAAATTTGAACCTTTCCCGAAGGTAATATGCATATGTCGGATTAAAAAGGATATTGAATAAAAGAGAATTTTGTTACGTTGTCGAAGCAAGTTTAAGTAAGTACCTATTTTAATTTAAATACAAAATATACCTACCTATTGTTCATTGCAATAAATAGGTAAAATATTAAAGCATTGAATACTAGTTATGAGTATGATAAATAATGAGTAATTTTCTATGCCGTAATTTACTATAGCTGTAGTCATGATTGGCCTGTAAATCATCATTAGTTTGCAGTACACATTAGGTATTTCCATTTTTGATAAGAAACTAATTAAATAAATATTAATTACAATATGTGATTAATATTTTTTCTCCATAATTTCATAATATGGAAATAAATCACAATACGAGAAGAAAAACTCAAAATAAAACGCAAAATGAAGGTGCTCTGTACACTTAATAATAAAGTAGCTTATATAATATACCTAAATGGAGTATCTCAATACGAATGTTTCACCAAAAAACAGTTTTTTTTTATCTAAGTCTGCGAGAATAGGTATACCACAATATACAGTTATTGTACTCGGTATGTGGGATAATTGTGTATTGTAAGATTATTTAAAAAAATTAAAATAGAAAATACTTACGAATATATTTGAAGAGCAGGGTAAACAGTGCATAATGATATTTAGTTTTATTGATTACTATTATTTATATCTGTGTATAGACTTAAAATATGTTTTTAAATAATTAAAAATGTCCTAGACATCATATTAATTAAGACATGTATATTAATTTATATTGTAACAGAAAAAATATAATAGATTCTAAATTAAAATTTAAAAAATTAGTTTGAACTGGGAATGTTTTGGTTCAGTTACTTACAATTTTATCTGAATATTTTTTACTTTCATTTTATTTATGGCTAGCTTTGTGCCCGCTGTTTCGTACGCTTGTATATCAGAAGTAGGAAAACCAAAGAAATGGACTACTTCTTAATAGAGTATCAAGATAAAATATACACTAGTTTTTAACTTAAATCTACAGGAATATAATTGTGGAAACCGTATCCCATTTGGTATAGTAGTTTTAACTTAATAACAGAACAAACATACAAACAAACAGAAAAAATCTTAAATTTATTGTTTTGACATCTGTTAATTTTATTATAACCCCTCCCATAAATTTTTGCTAAATACTTTCCATGTACAAACATCGTCGGTAGAAAATGGTATTAGGTTCAAGGTTCACGAGCTACTTACATCTACGTACATGTACCTACAATTTATAGTACTGCTATTCTCTTCGATACTGCTTAATTCTGAGAATGAAAAGGAGTGATGAAAAAGGAATATAAAGTGTCAGCACTTCTGTTATACATTCAGCACTCCTGTTGTTGTTATTTTTTACCAACATTATTTTTGAATTACTTTTATACCTAAGGACTAAGGCAACCGATATAGTTTGAGAAATCCGCAAGTTGAAGTGGCAAACGGTCTATTACATAGCTCGAGCAACCGTTAACCGATAAAAAAGTAAGAAGAGTTCTTGAATGGTGATCTCTTGCAGACAAGCTAGGAATTTTTAAAAAGCGTTAAAAAGTATATATTTTATATTTATAATATTTATAATTGAATATAATGGATCAAATTATCGCTAAGATACAAATTTTCCAGTTTTTTTTTTCTGGAGCATGTGATACAGCGCCATCTAGTCACAAAGTACTTAAAGCTGATTTAAAGTAGTCAGTTTGTCAACTATATAGAGTATACTAATTAATAGAGTATATTAATTAATATTGTATTTTTTTTTTTTTTTTTTTGTTAGGGACGCAAATAAGCAGACGGCCCATTTGATGGGATTCAATGATACTTATTCATTTTAATAATATTAGAATAAGTTTAGGAAGCAGACTGCATTAACAACTAGGATCTCTTTTATTAATAATATAATAATAAATTTTATTCTAAACAATTTATTGGTTATATTTTGTTTAAAAAAAAGGTTCATTTAGAAATGGCAATCTGAATATATCTTTAAAATTTTAATTATAATTCTAATATCACAACGAACACTATTCTAAGAACAAAAACTTTAAGATTTAAGTTAAAGTTATTAAAGATTTAGTTTACGATGGTCCATGAAACAGTAATTTTGCGAAACTACTAAAATTAAAACTTAATTTTTAAACCTTATTCCTTAACAATATTTTAAATATTAGGTCAAGAAATAAGTTAAGAGAAATAGCGCCTCAAAATTGCCCATTATGTCTTACAACTTCAATAAAAATTTTAGAAGCCGTCTACGCTACAACTGGCATTATATGATTGATTTTTTTTTAATTTAACCGTTTTGTATTGCAACGATTATTATTTGATACTCATTAATATAATGAAATAGGCATGAAAAGGTAAATGAAATCAAAGAAAGTTAAATAATGACAAAATACATTTTTTTTTATTAATTCTAAACATGACGAATTAGTTAATAATGTCACATATATATGATTTTACATCTAATGAGAAGAAAAATAAAACTGTGTTTATACTTATTATAAACTAAGCTTATTTATGAGTGATTCACCTTAATACTGAATAACAAACGATAGTTTGACAATTAAAAAATAAAGGAAATATAATAAAAATAAATGGAAATGCTGAAAAGTGTGTAATTACCACTATTCACAATATATTATACGTATGTTTACAAATATATAAGAATATTATGCATTTCGTGATTTTTTTAAGACAGAATAAAAGCACAAAATAACGATTATTTCAAATATAATAAATTCGAATGATTCCTGTTTTTTAATATCATGGTTACTATGCGTCATAGAGCAATCAAGTTCGAAGTCCAAGTTTTTTTTTTATATTTAACAAAATAAGTAGATTAACTTTATGGAACCGGTAATAAAAAACTAGTAAATCAAGTTTTTATATGATTTTAAATATTATCAAACAGTAGGTGTCTAATTTTGCTTAATTATATGCAACATAAATAATTTTAAAATAGGACAGAAAACCATAAACGCTGTCCTTTAACACCTTTATTCGAAGTTAGATTTTATTTGAAACACTGAGGAGTATTTAAGAAGTTCTACCATACCAAAGACAAAAGAAAAGGTAAACGTTGTCAGAGACAAAGAATAAACACTTTGTGCATATTAGCGTTGTTGTTGGTAACTTATTAAAGCCAAATTTTAAAGAAGACCATAGATAGTAACCTACACGGCTTTAAATTATGAATTTCAAAATAATATGTATTCTGAAGAAGAATTTGTTTGAAATTCTATTACGAATGCATTATTTGGTTGAAAACTATATAAGCTAGCACGCGAGACCACCGCCTTCGTTGCGTTCTATCTCTCTTCGTACATATTCAGCTTGTTTTTCTGTTAGTCCCAGACGGGCCACTTCTTTCTCGAACTGTGTTATACCTCCGACGCCAACAAGGTATCCGTTCAACCTGGCAGCCAAATGAGATGATTGTAACTTTGAAGAATCCAGTCCCAGACTGCGGCAGAGGTCCTTATGACCTTGCAACCGGTACTTTTGATGGTAGCTGTAAAGTAAAAGAGAAACAATTAAATAGGCGCACATTACCTTGAATTTTTACAGTAAATATTAAGCCTGTAGTAAGTAGTGATAATCCTAGCCTTAGATGACTGTTTATTTAACAATAAATTATACCTAACATATAACAAATTTATACCAGAGATAGACTTTGTACAAAAGTCGATTGCTTGCGTACCTCTGTTTCATTCGTGCTTCAACCGTAAAGCAGTTGTGTTTGCATGGCTGTGTTTTGGTTTGAAGGGTGGGATATGGCATGAATTTACTGGGTACGGAGGAATAACAACTGAGTCCTCAGGAATGGCAACGCAGGGGGGTATCATGAGCGAAACAGTATATTCTGTTATGTCCATGGTACTGCTTATGTCTATAGGCGACGATTATATATATATATATATATATATATATATATATATATATATATATCTATTTATTATGAAGAATCTTTATAAGACTAATAGGTGCTAAAACAGTAATATTTAGAAGTATTGTCTGATTGTATGTTTATTCCGGCATATCATAAAAACTAGTACATCAAATTGGATGTGGTTTTCACTGTTGTGTTCCTGAAGGTTTAACTTAAAGTCTGGTGGATGTTTCATTCTGTTATTTTACTGATTGAAAGCGGGCTGGTAACATATAGCGGGTGGTGACAAGGTCCGCTTACTATAATCCGGTTTACTACAGTCACATAATATTTATATATATCATAATATCGACATAACGCGACCATAAGAAGAATATTATTTTAGTGCATTATTAGATGTTATTAAAATTACTTATCTAAGTTTTTTTTTATTCAACTTAGAATGGCAAACAAGCTGACGGCCCACCTGATGGAAAGTGGTAATCGTCGCCTATAGACATGAGCAGTATGAACGTAACAGAATATACTGTTACGCCCATGATACCCCCCCCCCATGCGTTGCCATTCTTGAGGACTCAGGTGTTATTCTTCTGTAATATAATACCCTGTAAATACACTGCCATATCCCACCCTTCAAAACGAAAACACAGCCATGCAAATACAACTGTTTCACGGTAGAAATACAAACGGGACAGCCCAAGAAAACGACTTTTGTACAAAGTCTCCCTCTGGTAAAATACAATGAGTAAGATATGAGTAAAAATTTCATGATTATATTTCAGGTAAGGTGTTTCATTAGATTTCACAAATCTCATTAAAAATCACCTCGCGTACCTATTAATGGCCGTCTCCAAACAAAGATAAAGGAAACCATAGCAGAAATCTTTTCATAGCAGGATAATTACTTATTTATTTTGTAATAATAATTACGAAGGTTGCGAGCAACGTGAAGCCGCGGCAATCGATCCTCTCTCTTAAAGGGATAGGCCATGACACATATTAGTATCAACCAACTGTTACTAATTATATATTCTATAAGTCGCAAATAAATTGATTATAAATATTTATAAGATGAATTATTTGGATGTAATGGCCGAACTGGAGATAAGATTTAAATAGTAGTCAATCTTGTGTTTAACTTATAATCACAAATGAGGTACCTAGTCTAAGGCAATTTATCCACAATATTAAATGGTTGTAAGTATTTTTAATATGCTGAATTGTATTCCAATTAATTTAGAGTACTATTTACTATTTTCTTTAATTGATAATTTTTTCCGCAATTTGGAGTGCCATCAGCCCTCGCCTTTATCAAATGTTCTGTGGAGACACAGAGGTGATCAAATAAAAGTAAAATCTATAAGAATATAACTTGGTTCATGTTTTCACCAATAAATACTATGAAAATGTCTGTAGACTCCGTTTGTAAATTGATATAAATCTTAATATATAAAAATCCAGTGTTAAAATGTTTGATAACCTATAAAAACGATCAGCCGAATTTAATGCAAGTTTGAAAATGTGTAGTGTTTGTGCCGATTTGACCAGAAATTGGATTATTTCTGTAGTTACAGGTAAATCTAATTTCTGGTTAATGATGGTCTGATAGAGGATTAAACAATATTTGCAATGATCAGGCTAAGCCAGCAAACGTGATCTAGCTTATACTCGTATATTACTGCGCTGAGAATTGAACTCGATATAATGCAGCTAGGCAGTTAGTTATTCAACTAAATAATCTAAGTAAGCCACATTGGTTCACACAAGGTTCGTTATAATGAATCTTTCGTACAATAGCTGATAGACAACTAACTGACTATTTAGCCGGTTATTATACTATAACCGGAAAGTTAAGTTATTAAAATTTCGGCTAGTTACTCATCGCTATTCTATATAGCTGAGTATCGGTATAGCTACCCCTTGCTAGGATCAGCTAATATTTTATATACTTACTCTTCAGCGGCATAGAAGATGCCGGCCGGCGCGATCTCTGTGCGGAGCTGGCCATCGCAGCGTATCTGCATATCTTTGTAGGAGGTTTCAGCCAATTGTCGCTGCTCCTCATCATGGTACAGGATCAAAGACTGGTACTGAATTATGGAAACAAAAAATAAAAATATTAACATATAAAGAGCAAAATTATAATAAAGTTTATTCTATTGCTATATATTTATTATATTTGATAACTCTAATTATCGGTAAGTAGGTACTTGCAGCAAATAATTGCTTATTCATTTTAACTCTAACAGATCGAATTTCGTATATAATAAAAAAGTGAATTTTTATGTTCTAAGTAAATATTATTTACAGTGTCTTGAAATAAAACTGCCAAATTTTATTTTTTGTCTACAAACTGTGGTCGTAAAGTGAGCCTGTTTTGTGATATAATAAATGTAAAATGTTAAAGTAGATACATAGATATAAGAATTCATTGGAGATAGGTAAAGAAGGGAGACAGGCGTGACAGATATGTATGTATGTATGTATGTATAGGTAAAGAACCTTAAAAATATTCTGTATATTTATTTAAAGTCAGTTTTGCCAATAATTTAAGAGTAATTCTATATGTAAAACGCTCACATTTGTCTAATTACCGACGTCATTAGCTGGCAATAAATATATAACAATACTTATTGTTAAACAATATTGGGTGTATTTTCGCACATTGTACATTTCCTTTCGTTAAATTATCATTAGAAGATCATTATATTTTAAAATTTGGCAGTGTTTACCCAGACAACAAATGTGAGTGGCAAAAGACCTCATTGAGTGTCAATTGCTTTAGAAACATAGCTCACTAAAATAATACATGTTCTATTTATAGACGAACACAAAAATAACTAATTTACATCATCTTTAACAATAAGTAGTTTGGGTAAATGATCTTTTGAATACGTTACAATGAAACGAAGTAAAATATTAATATGGAGTTAGATCAAACGAATTCTTCGTTCTGTACTCTTTTAACCTTTAGTAATATAATAGTAATAAATACCATTAAACAAATAGACATTTTACCAGAGGGAGACTTTGTACAAAAGTCGATTGCTTGGGTACCTCTATCCCATTCGTGTTTCTACCGTGAAGCAGTTGTATTTGCATGGCTGTGTTTCGGTTTGAAGGTGGGATTTGGCGTGAATTTACAGAGTACAGAGGAATAACACCTGAACCCTCAGTAATGGCAACGCATGGGGGGTATCATGGGTGAAACAGTATACTCTGTTATGTCCATGGCACTGCTCATGTCTATAGACGACGGTTACCACTTTTCATCAGGTGGGCGGTCAGCTTGTTTGCCATTTTAAGTTGTATAAAAAATAAAACATACAGGGCCGTCTAGAACTAAACTATCTAGAGTTTGTTTAGTAATTAATATATATAATTTAATAAATAAATTAATTGGACGGTAGGGAAAATATAAAATTATAATGTAAAAATTTGACGTTCATAAGCGGCTAAAATGTCCTACATGAATAAATGATTTTTGAATTTTGAATTTTGAATTTTGAATAAAAATAGAGAATGTGTTTATTATTTATTTGGGCACCCAAAGAATTACTTAAAAATAAACATCCTGGATGTAATTATGCTCTCCTTAAAATATGTAAAGGAAGATAATTGTTATTCCATTATTTACATTCTTGAATAACATATTTACTGTTTAAGTATCGGATTACTTGAAAAAAAATTTTTTAAGATACCTATCAGACACAAAACATACATAATGTCATAAAATCACCTGTATAGAACCTGTATTACTGCTTCTATGGTAAAAACATAAGAGATCACTTTTTTGTCTCAATGTCACATTGCCAAAATATTGATACTGTATAATGTTTCTTTTTTACTAACCTGTTTGAATATATACATACCTACATATTAAATGCCATTAGCGATATTTAATTCTGACGACATTTTCAATTCTAATAATATTCGGAATAGAGTTTTTTTTTTTAAGATACCTAATACTGCGTTTAGCATACAAGCTTACGGCCCATCTAATGTGCAATTCACATTTAATTGCACATTCGTTCTTAATAAACTTCTCCAACAACCCACATTATTTAAAAAATTTATTATCTAACCAACGGTCAAGTATAAATGACATAAAATAATAAAATAAAAAATGTAAAATATCTGTTTGTAAACTAGTTTGTGATTCAGAATATAAAAAAAATTACTAGGAATGATAATCGAGTTTAATTTATTATATTACTATATGTATATATAGTATAGTTGTAGTTTATTCCATTAAATGTGGAAATTTTATTCATCTTCTACCTATATATAATAAACAACATTATTTAATGAATAATTTCATTGTAAAAATTGTACCTTAATGATAGATCATTGCCCCTGTATTGACTCTAGATTTTGATAGAATTTTGAGTTTGAAATCATTGTATAAATAGTTGAACATACTACGAGTATTCTAAAAATCTAGTGATTTTTATATTATTGTAAAAATATATGTAGGTACTACTCCATCAAGCCCGCATTAAAATTGTTTACGGAGTTGCATTCACAAAAAAACACAAGAGTGACTTCTACCTGCGTATTTATTTTTATACCTGCATATTGGAAGGTCCCAATAAATTTGATTTCAAAACAACCAAATAACGTAGGTATTAATGTTTCATAACTGGACGTAAATAAATTTTAGAGACCTTTGAATATCATTAAGCGAAACCGGTCTGCCACATAATATAAAAATTAAATTGTGGAATATTACCCGTATTTTTAAAATAATTAACTATAAATTTATTTAATGTTTAATTCAACACTAAAATATGGTTTTCAACATTATTTTAAAACTTTTAGATTTGTATAAAGAGGTAATATATTTATTGGTCGATGACTTCATAAAAAACAATTTTGGAAGGAAAAACTAAAAATAGAAGGGGAAGGGAAAGACAAAAATAATTGTATGATTTAAATAAGAAAAGCTTAATGTCATATCCCAGATTGAGGACAAAAGTATGGCCCGAGATAGAGCCAATTCAGAAAGATAAAGGTTTAGTTGCCTCAATAAAAAATATTTATTTTAAATTGAAAATAAATCCCCCCCCCCCCCCTACACCCACATATTATCTAGTTCAGGTCTTTTGATTATTCGTAAATTTAAATTAGCTTGGCAGCAAAATAATTACCTGTCTTTTTAGTTTAGTGGTGAGCCCGTATTCGTGGTTGGCCCAAAACATGTCTAACAGATCTTCATACGTCACAGTCTTAGGGTCGTAATCCACTTCTATCACCTCTGTATGGTCGCCACTGAAAATCATGAATTATCATAAATAAAACAAACGTTCAAACTTGTCAATATACGCGTATGCAATTGTGCAATAGGAATAGGGGCGTTTATTATCCATAAACATTTATTAATAAAATAAATGTTCCAGACATTTTAATAAAAATTATAACATGAATGGCAATATCGATCATAGCAGAATAAGTACAATTTTTACAAGACGTTTAGCTGCATGTAATACCTACCAATATTGTAGTCATCATATAAAATGCATTACAAAAATAAAAAAAAAAACAGTACGTTTACTTTTGTCGTGGCGCAATTGCCATAGTAACGCACTGAACGTCGATAATTGAGGACGAATTCTGCTACTTGGCAATTTTAATTTACCAAATATGTATTAATTGTATTTATACATCTACATTACAAAACAGACATGAAGTTGTTTTTGTTCATTAAAAAGAGCATATACGCGCAATACTCCAAACTATATTATCAATAATGTTGTTATAAATGTCTAAAGAGTATAGTTTATGCAAATGATATTTAAATATCTAACTCGATATTCTATTGATATGAGTGATATGAGTATGGACCTCCGTTGACATCTTTTGGAATGTTTTAATAAAATTACTCTGCAATTTTGCTATCTTCAACAAAACTCTGCAATATTTAACCTTTAAATGACTTTTTTTTAAATATTTTTTTAAATTTATGTTTATTTTTTTTAACGGAGCTTCATTATTATTAATAATATTAATTTATTTTTTAACATTCACAACATGAATTTTATCATCTTATTATCTTACTGTGTTTGTTGTTTTCGACAATTGTTTAGACTTTATCCGGAAGTCTTCTTAAGGGGGCGTACGGTGCTGTACGCTGTGATGCAAAGCGCTGAAGAAGACTTTGTCAGAAACGACAAACACGATAAGTTTGAAAAATTACCGTTGTGCATATGTATAGAAATTTATGAGATTACGTCGTAGATATATCATTTATACGAATTATTATAAAGTGCTTTGTGTCTTTCTTCTTCATGTGTATAGCCAAAGAATAGAACTTTCTGCCTGTTTATGTTTTTTCATTCAAATATCATCAAGATATCATCATATCAGCCTTTAACTGTTCACTGCTGTTTTGCCAGTAGTTACCACGCTTGGCAGGTGGACTGGCAACCGCAGTTAAGCTTTGAAAATGTTTTGAGAGGGACGCTACTGCCTATTCCTCGCCTTCTCTTAGTCGCTTCTTACGACACCCACGAGAAAAGAAAAGATGGCCTATTCTATGTTATATATATATATATATATATATATATATATATATTACATACAGCACCAATTTCAGTAATTTGTCTTAAATTACTGCAGATTTATGAATAGGCTACTCGTGGATCCATGAGCTCACAGATCCATTAAGATTTATTGAAACAGACACCAATTATAATGTCAAATTTTGTCGTCTATACACGGTTAGAGGACACTGAAAATGGCATCATATTAACATTCATTGTGTATGGTTCGCCATCTATTAAGAAGTCAATGTACTAACAACCTTCAATCAATTTAATTTTATTTGTCGTCTTTAACTCTCTACATCTTTTTGGTAGGTATTTATAACATGACCTTATATACCATTCTCTACTTATGTTTATAAGGCCAACAGCCTATTTTCAAGATTAAACTAATACAGATAAAATTAAAAATAGTACCTGTCTATTTATTAGGATTAAACATGCCTACATGTCTTTAGAAATAATATATTCTCGTGCTCTTAATAGTAAAATAACTAGTTGGAGTAACAGGAAAAGCATTATTTTCTTCAGGAAAAGGACAGAAACCACAACTGTGACCACAATATGCCATAATACCTAAAACTATTATAATATTTGTAATTTCATTGTGATCTTTGTTTAAATGTATATAAACATAGAATACAACATTGTACGAGTATAATAATATATAGTTATTTTGATTTAAAAACTAAATTACTGAACCGATTTTGAAAAAATTCTATGGGGTTATTCTATTATCCTTTTAGATTCGAAATAATTTTCCAAATCGATTTATAACTGACGGAGCTATGTGGTAACTAACGTAAAAAATGCAACCAAATTGAGAACCTCCTTTTTTTAAAGTAGGTTGATTATTTGTTTATTTTTTTCTTTTTATTTTTTTGTAACTTCTCAAACAGGAAAAAAATATGCATCATTATATCAGCCGTTAACCGTCTACTGCTGAACATCAATTTTCCTCATAAGGCGAGTTTAGCCAGTAGTTGCCAGGCTTGGCAGGCGGATTGGCAACTACTGTTAGGCTTTTTGTGATGTTTTAATAAAAATGCTGCTGCCTATTATCATTAAGTTTCCGTAGTCGCTTCTTACGACACCCACCAGCAAAGCAAGTGGTGGCCTATTCTACCAGGACCACACGAGATATTAATAGAAAAATCACTGATCTGTTAAATAAAAACTAACCTACATACTAATATATCTCTTATATAATGTTATTTGTATACAAAACACAGAACATCATTGTTATTTTTATTTATACACACTCGGAAGTGTAATCAATGAAAAATCATTGAAATTTGTAAGCGTTACATAAATGTCTAACGTCTGTCGGCGTGCGTACACGCATCTAACCCGCCTTGACCTTGTCGCGCCGCGCGGCCTTGCGTGCCGTCGAATTGCTAATTGCCCGTATTACGACTAGATCTAAACTGTTTTGTTTGCATCGGTTTTAATTCAGTTCTTTGCATAGCAACATTATATAATTAAATATTATTTACTTGAAAATTAGTACGTACTAATATATTAGTAACGGAGCAATGCAGAATGCGTTATATTCCCTTCTTGAAGGAATTTCAATAAATACTTTTTTAATGTTTCGATATGTATTAAAATCCATTTCTAAATATCTTTTATCTTCAACACCGTTTCACAGATCGCGATAAAAATGGCCACATAAGAAAAATACTGTGTTTTTCATGGATAAGACTTAACGGCGCTTATCATTCTAACAATTGCAATGAAAATTTTATAGTTGAACACGAATTCGTCGTGTTTGCCTACATTTTTTTTTTACACAACACAGCATCTGCCGAATTTTCCTAATTCTTTACATATATTTCTTTTTATTTATTACTTTTGCTAAAGTGTTTATTAACGAGATTTTATTTTATTAATCGCTTCACACTCTTGTTCCCAAAACCGAAATAATGCGATCAAATATGTGTAGGTGTATACCATCACGGCTGGCATATTTTGGCAATTGTATCACGTTTTTTTTAATAGAAATAGTCTAGAGAGTCTAGACCAAGACAATAATGGATTCAAAAATTTTCCATCGTATTAAGAAAAGAGAGATAAATATCACATGGTGCCAATATTTACCTTCTAGTTATTTATACAAATACTCATTAATGCGTAAACCCATTATTTGTTACTCAATTGTAACACGCCTATATAAATTAAGGTTATAATTTATCTAAGTAATAGTTGAGTGATTTTTGTCTTACTCAAAATGTAAATATATAAAAATATAAATGTGAAATTTTTCACTAGAGAGAGAGAGAGAGACTTTGTGCAAATATCGTCTGCTTAGGTAGTTTTGTATCACTCGCGTTTCTGTTACCAAGTGGTTGTATTTCAATTTGAAAGATGGCATATCACCATAAAATTACAAGGCATACGAAGACATAATACAATAGCTCGGGGGGAAAAGGATTATTAGTAATGTGGACTAATGGCCCCATTGCTAGCAAGCCCTGTCAGGTCGACCTCCACGCAGTTCCCCCTGGAAACCATTGTGATTAATACTTCTTGCATTCGTCACGCTGGGCTAACTGACCTGATTTCATACTCATCTATCATCACTCACTGGTGCCCCGCCAGTGTATACCGATAGCGCAGGCGGGGTCTCCATTTCCTTATCATTCATTAAAAAAAACAATAGCTCTCATAATTAATATCGTGTAAATATATTATCATGCCCATGGTAATCCGTCAAGGACATGATAGAATACTTTATTATGCTCATAGTATTGTTCGTATCAATAGGTAATGTTCACAACATTCCATGTTTATCGGCCATCGTATTGTTTGGTATTCCAAGTATCATAGAGAAACCTGTAAAATATGTGAATGAAAGGTACACAGATAATTATACTAAAATAACACATAGACATAGGTTACAACTTATCGCAATTAAGTAAGGGCTGTTTATCTATATAACTATTATTTCACGGTAGATATGTGTAGATGGTAACTAGCTCACCACTAGGTGGAGCAACTGGTCACTTGCCTTCTAAATATTGATCAGGGATTTTACCTTGACTTGCTGGTTTGTCGATTACTTTTTGCGAAAATAGGCAAGTGTTTATACGTTATATATAGGTACTGTCATAGTATTATATTATCTGTGGTACTGTAAACTATCTAATCACTAATCTGTAATAAAAATTTCTTATGGCCTTCCTATTTGAAATGATAATCTGTTTGTTACAGAATTTACTTGATTACAATAAAAGAAAGAAAGAAAAAAGCAAGCGTGGTTTTTTTATTTATTTTCGCTGATGTTTATACAATAAAATTTGTCCCACAAAATTAGTCAGTACAGTCAGTATCTAAAACAGTGGGATCGATTCTAAGGCACCATGTATAACCCTTTCTCTGAAATTAACTATTCATTTTATTATAATAGCGAAATCTTTATTCCAAGGACCAGTATGAACTGAATTTTAAATTACAACCATTTAAAGTCAATATTATATTATAATTAGTTATTATAATAATTCATAAAACAATAATTTCACACAATTAAATTGAAATATTACAGATTCAGACCCAATATCAATTCAAAACTAAAATTTTAAATCGATAGCAAAAATAAAAGAAAAAATTTAAAGAGTTTTATTCATTCGTATAAAGAAGCATTATTATATAATTTATGAGTAATGTACCTACGTATTGAAGATGATAAGAGATCTCACTTGATTATACTTACAGGTACAAGATAGCGTAAAATAAAAAAATGATTGATAATAAAATTCACGTCATTAGCTTCAAATTGATAAACTGATATAATTATAATCCTATATATTTCGTAATGTAAAAACCCCCTACAGTTCATCGTAATTGTATGTAGGTAATGACGAATAGAGGTATAGACCTAGCCCAAAACCTTTATTCCATTTTTGGGTGTCGACGCAATAACATATGTCTTTCTCTTCCACGGATCTCTATCATGCATAATACTAAACTTCACTCTTCTTTAATACTGTCATCCTTCACATAATTTATCCATCTTTAAACATTCTCTTCTTTTACGTGTTATAATAAATATTATTAAAATATCTAAATTATCATCATCACATCAGCTTTTAATTATCCACTGCTGAAAATAATAAGGGGGGTTTGCCATTAGTTGCCACGCTTGGCAGGCGGATTGGCAACCGCAATTAGGCTTCAAAAATGTTCTAAGAGGGACGCTGCTGCATATACCTGGCCCTCCCTTAGTCGTCACTTACGACATTCATGGAAAAGGAAGGGGTGGCCTATTCTATTCCAAGACAACGCGGCAAATTTTTTGCTAATATAAATTGTATTCCAATAAATTAATGAATGATTGAAAAAAATATGAAGTGGGATGTGAACCCACATATTTATACTTTGTATTTTTTTTAATGGATGATAATGGAATGGTAACTCTACCCGCGCTATAGGTATACACCGGCGGGGCACCAGTGAAGGATGATAGATAAGGATGAAGCAGGTCAGTTAGCCCATCGTGACGAATTCAACAAGAATTGTTTACGATGGTTTTCAGAGGGAACCACGTGCAGGTCGACCTAATAGGGCATATTGCTAACAATGGCTGTCAAACTCCATTGCTAACAACTTCTAAGAAATTCTATCATAATATGTGTATAATACAATACCATAAATATTATACACTTAATAAAAACAATTTAGGTTATACTTGACTAAATTAAATTGTTTTCGTCAGTTTTTTTTTTAAATGTAGTTTATTGCAAATTCATGTAAATACGATAATTCCGTTTTAAGCGACCCTGCCCTAGTTCTTAACTCATTATTATACAGTACAATCGAGTCTACATCAAATATAATATAAACAGTATTATTACCTATTATTAATAAAGCGTTCGACAAGTAATTTATCAACTTTTTTATATTTTTTTCTCTCAATTATAAATAATATTTTTTTTATTATACAACTTAGAATGGCAAACAAGCTGACGGTCCACCTGATGGAAAGTGGTAACCGTCGCCTATAGACATGAGCAGTACCATGGACATAACAGAGTATACTGTTTCACCCATGATACCCCCCATGCGTTGTCATTCCTGAGGACTCAGATGTTATTCCTCTGTACCCAGTAAATTCACGCCATATACCACCATTCAAACTGAAACACAGCCATGCAAATACAGCTGCTTCACGGTAGAAACACGAATGGGACAGAGGTACCCAAGCAATCGACTTTTGTACAAAGTCTCACTCTGGTAAAAAAACTATTAATAGTAATTATTGGTATTAATAATATATTATTAGTAAATCACTAAATAAAAAACCTACTGAAGAATCTTTTAGGTGGGCTGTTCTTTAATACATTTTTTAAAGACTATTTCTTACTTGTATAGAATTGTGCAAAATATTTACAATCCTAATAGTAATTATAATAAGGTAGAAAAGCGCAGTGTGGTCCCGGCATAGAATAGGCCAAATCCTTCTTTCGTATGATGATGTTAAAAGCGACTAAGAGAACTTAATGTTTGGGGGATGAGCAGCAGCGTCCCTCTTAAAACATCACTAAAAGCCTATTTGCGATTGCCAACCCGCCTGCCAAGCGTGGCAACTATTGGTAAAACCCCCCAATAGTGGGAAGCCTATATTCAGCAGTGGACATTTAACGGTTGATACGATACAATAAAAGTAAAAAGACGTGGTAAAACTAAATTATGACTGTTTGCCATTCTAAATATAATCCTATTAATTAATTATTTTATAACACATATTAAAATATGTTTACAGAGTGGACTTAATACCTGATTGCATTCTCTACTAGTCTACAAATATTGTCAATTAATATAGGTAATATATGTGAAATATTTAACGATGGATGGATAGACCAGATAGGATACCAGAGGGAGACTTTGTACAAAAGTCGTTTGTTCGGGTACCTCTGTCCCATTCGTGTTTCAGCCGTAAAGTAATTGTGTTTGCATGACTGTATTTCGGTTTGAAGGGTTGGATATGGCATGAATTTACAGGGTACAGAGGAATAACACCTAAGTCATCAGGAATGGCAACACATGAAGAGTATCATGTGCGAAATGGTATATTCTGTTATGTCCATGGTATTATTCATGTCTATAGGCGACGGTTACCAGTTTCCATCAGGTGGGCCTTCAGCTTGTTTGCTATTCTAAGTTGTATACAAAAAAAGATGTTTGTTCTTTGACGCAAAAACTATTAAATGGAATGAAATAAAATTTTATATATGGGTAGGTTATATCCTAATTTATTACGTAGGATACTGATTCAAACGGAGAAGTGGGATATAGTTAGTATAAAAATAATGTTTTACTTACATTCCTCTATAGTGTGGATTTTTTGTGGTACCTCCGGAGTAACCAACACGTGTGCGAATAACGCCAGGGGTCGCGCCGAACAGCGAGTCGTTGGACCAGAAGCAGCCCATGCCGAAGGTAGCCTTCTTCGTTGGGATGTCCACATCGTGTAACAAGGTAGCCTGTATCGAGCAATAAATTAAATAGGTAATTTTAATTTCGTGATTGTTATGGATACCTACTTTAATATATATTAATCTCGCGTTACGTTGTCCGTTCACTTTAGTCTTCAAAACCACTTAACCGATTTTAATTAAGTTTTGTAAATATATGTTGCTTGCTGCAACTTGGAGATAGGATAGGTTTTATCCCAATAAGAACAAAATGGTCGATGGCGGTTGGAGCAAGTCAATGTTTGTCAAGTCAGTTTTTTCAATTTAAAAATAGGTAGAAAAAAAGTATTGTACAATACACAAGTCATCTACTTGGGTACCGTTATCTCATTCGTGTTTCTGCCGTGAATCAGCTATACTTTCATCCATGGCTTTGTTTTGGTTTGAAGGGTACGTATATAGTAGTAAAATTAAAGAGTACAGAGATATAAGACCGTATCTCTTAGAACTGATATAAGGAAAAGGTAAAAGTATGATAAGCCTTCACAACACCATCGATTAACATATGTCTATAGACGACGGTTATTGCTTGCCATAAAATGGCCAACCAGACTTTTAGGCATTCTCACATAATTAAATAAAAACATGAATCTGCTAAATGCATCGTTTCACTGACATGGTTTTATTACGATCCTGGGGATGCTAGAATTCTAGAATTAATTTGTAAAGAGACTGTGTATTTCGAAGGTTTAAAAACACTGATCTATTAAACCTAATTTATCTGGATATTAAAATGTTTTCTCTATTTCGTTTGAGCTAAACTACCTATTTACTTCAATAACAAACACATTATAGGTATACCTTGCACCTGATTTTCATGAATGTTTCATAAGATAGATAAATGTCTAGTTTATATGAATTATGAATTGTATACATTTAATTATAACTTTATTAAGGCATATAACCGCATGAGAGTAGTTGGATGGAGGCCCACGCCTCCCTCCAACATACGCCTACCTATGTAGTTCATCATGGTTGAACGAGTGGACACAACCAACTTTAGAGATAAAAAATAATCCATTTTAAATTTGAATTGAATATTTGCAAATGGCTGTTCATTAGATACTCAGGTACCTCTAGAAAAATTCCTACTAGCTTTTTTTTTTATACAACTTAAAATGGCAAACAAGCTGACGGTCCACCTGATGGAAAGTGGTAACCGTCGCCTATAGACATGAGCAGTACCATGGACATAACAGTGTATACTGTTTCGCCCATGATACCCCCCATGCGTTGCCATTCCTGAGGACTCAGGTGTTATTCCTCTGTACCCAGTAAATTCACGCCATATCCCACCCTTCAAACCGAAACACAGCCATGCAAACACAGCTGCTTCACGGTTGAAACATGAATGGGACAGAGGTACCCAAGCAATCGACTTTTGTACAAAGTCTCCCTCTGGTAGCTCCAAAGTTCAATGCGCAGATACATAAACTTTCAAGCGTATCTAAATTAAATGATTATTATAAACATACATTATCATTATGCCAACATAATGATCAATAATGACAACGGTGATGATTCTACAAATTTTATATATATGAAGAATTAATTGCGTCATTCATTATCTCGACGCTACAAAGATGCTTCTTCATTCAATATCGACCAGATAATTAGATGACCACGAGCCGCGTGACTGATAGCTAAATAATAAAGTTCAATTGTGCTATCGTCACTTATTTCTATCAGTGTAAAGAACTCAGACCATGGTCTTTGCAGATCTGTGACATAGACAAAATGTACTGACAGCACAGATAAAATAGAATCATCAACATTATTTCAATCATTCTTTATAAACTATTTTTTATTCTTTATAGAGAATAAATAAATTCCTTAATCTTATGGCTTTACTATAGTTGAATAGGTATTAGGAAAGTTCTCGCAAGTAAATTCTGCATGCTACAAATTTAGGTTATTTGGAACTGTACATATTTATACAAAAATTTAAAACTTTAATAATACAAGTACAAGGCAAAAATAAAAGAATCCACTTCTTTCTAAAACGAACGCTGAATGAAACTAGAGGAAGATTTGTAAATTCTGCTTGAGGTACTCAACAGATACGAATCGAACATATGATAGTGCGTTCTCGTATTTCTGTTCACATTTATATTTACTCAGCTATGTTTCAGTTTGACGATGATATTATTCATAAAGTGAACCCTCAACATATTTGCCATTTTGTGTTGTATAAAAAAATAATGAACAGAGCTTATGATATTTGTAACGATTGTGACCAGCTGTGTTTGAAATGAACTGCCTATCGTTAACTACTGTGTATAAGATTAAATGCATTTGTAACGTAAGGGGTATTCCATGTTGTCCATTCCATCCATCCATGTTACCAATCTTCATAACATTTCTAAGCGACATGGTTACAATTTCTTATATTGATAGAAAATAACTAACAGCTTTTTAAGCTATTTTCGAAGAATAAAAATGCATTTCATTTAAGAATCCAATGTGAGTCTTCACAATTCTATTTCAATCGCATAAAATTGTCTACATCCGTATAAAAGATTCATTGGGTAGTTCTATTAAATTTATATTTATATCTGTGAAAATGGCCTGGTTACTGCTATTACGACCACTTATCAATCTAAATTGATCAATGCAAATACAAGAGTGTGCGAGTGACATTGAATTTATTGTCGTTCAATCAATCCAATAAATAAGTCACTCTTTAAGCGAAATAACACTCACTAGACTACAACAACTTATCGATTGGAATCAATATGAATCAATAATTTAGTAAAGCCAATGGTAATAATAATAGAAGTAGGGGCAGTACAGCAACCTGATGGTCTGAGTCAATTAGGACTGCCCCCAAACCGAAAATTAAGCAATGCATATGACTCAAGACAGTCAAGCCTGGAGAGTATTCATTGGACAGCGCATTCCTGGTGGGCACGACCCTCAACTTTGAGGAAATGGTTAAAGAGTAATAATAGGATAATATCCTCTTTAGGATGAGACCCATGCCCAACATTAGAACATTAATGAATCATTACATATGTGTGTATCTGTAATTTTGTGTGTTTGGATGTAAATATTTTGTAAAAGAATCAGCAACGTACAAATGTTATCTTTGGTGGCTTTAGCTATAGGCCAGAGTAAGCATTTACCATGAAGTGATTCTTATGCTTATGTAAATAAACTTGTAATTTTGCACAGCGGCTTCTCTTGTAACATATGCTCTTAATAAGAAAGAGTTAATGTGTATTCCTATAACGATAGAAAAAACGGTAGAATCAAATGTGCAAGATTTAGATATTTGTTTATACGAATATGAGTAGCTATCTTTTTGTTTGTTAACATTTTACAATTTTACATAAAATTTTAATAGAAATATACCGTAAATTATTAATTATTATTAATTTTGATGATGTTAAATGATATATTAAATAAATATCATACTAAACAAATATTAAATAAGAAGAAGAATTTTTTTGTTTGTAATGGCTATATACTTAATTTAATTACAAATAATAACTACAAAATACTTAATTAACAATTTTAATTATTTCAATCTGAGCCTTACTATTAACTGACATTTATAAAATAGTTTTACCCAATCTTTTTAACCGTATCTATCTTCTCTTTTGTATAAAATATGTATATCTGAATAAATACATCAATATGTTCAGAATAGATATTAAAAACAATTACTAAATTTACTTTTTGGTTTTGTCGTATTTAACATAAATTCAGAATTATTATAATTTTTTTCCATGTTAATACTAGAGTAATTTCATATAACATTTCTTGAGTACTTACTCTGTCAATTTACTTATACTCGTAACACATATGTGTATGCGAAATTGTTTACTTGTTTCACGGTCAAGCCTTCACGGACTTCAGTGAAATATCAACTTTAAGTATTAGTGGCAGTCGTATTTGTTCAATTATTCTATTAGCCTTGTATTTAATTCCATATATTGTTACTTTAACAAGTAAAATTTTATTACTCTTACTCTGTCATTGTTAAAATCTTTTACCAAACTACTGCATCGATTACACAGAAATTTTGGTTTATTAAAAAAATATGCAGATATTGTATGAGTGTATTATTTATATTATACTGTCAAGAGTAATATAAACATAATATTCACGATCAATAATTTATGAAAACAATTCGATTTCGACTTGCAATGTCTTCTTAAATTCTTGATTAACAAGCATAATGTTGCAGTTGACCTAAATTAAAGAACCTGCATTATTGCATCAGACAGGTGAAAATTACGAGTACATCAAAATAATGCAACTTTCATTCATGCGCTTCTATTCTAATTAATACTAAGGAAAAAAAAATTACTCACTTGCACTGGTGGTTTCATTGTCGCGAAATTTCTAAAATATTTCAGCATGCACCTCTAAAATGCCGGTTGAATGTGCTTAGTTAGCAAATCTTCAACTGTGGGAATGTTTTATTTTTTATGAATTTGTACGAAACGTGTGTAGTCCCGCGTGATTTAGATCGTGCTGTCGTGCAGAGTGAAGCCGCGACGCGTCTTAGAGGTGTGGCGGTCCGGCGAACACTGGTTGCTAAGTTATTCGCTGCTCTACCAGTCCACCACCAATAATTACGACGAGATTCTTGACGACATTGACTTGCTAACGCGTGCCAGTAACTCGTTTCCAACAGTAGGCACAATCGACACTGTGTTCAACATGCCGATAAAATTATCCAAATCATGCTATATTGTAGCTTTTTTAGTCTCATTCTTTTTTGGACTATTCCATTATGTTTTATCTTTATAAATACATATTTTCCATGGCTATATCTCAAGCGTTATTTGTATCAGTGTAAATTGCATAAGCGTATCCAATCGGTTAAATTAGACGTTTAGTTACTTTGACTTGAATGTTTAAAATTATTAATTTACATAAAGTGTTCGCTTACGTTATTTGCAATACAATTATATTGCTAAATACCTATTGAACACATATTATAGACGCTGTATTTAATTTGCACGTGTCAGTAGGAATACGGCCAATGACGGGCAGGCGAACTTTACGTAAGGCTGCATTATTCATTTCAGCAACAAGCGATAACGCTTTTAAAAAATTAAAACTGATTTTATATTTTATATGCAAAATGCCTGGATAAACATTTAGGAATTTTGTATTTCACAGAACAAACAGAGATAGATATTCTTAAATACAAATATTTATATAGTGCAGATATCGAATCTACAACCGTTGTAAGGTCATATTAAACCGCCACACTGTCACGATTTTCAAAAAGGGATGCTGTTTGAATTTTAATGGATGCAATCCATAAGAGCGGAAACGTCTTCAGAAATTTCAAGTGTACGAGTTTTACAGCTGTAACTATTCAAACCCTATAATGATAGCATCATCAATCACCATGTATAGGAATTATTAAATAAAATATTTTTAAGCTGTCGGTCCGACAACAGCTCAAACCGCGTGGATATGCGTCGTAGCGCGGGTGTTCGGTATGACGTGCCGGCGCGGCGGCGTGACGAAACCTCGCCCGCGCGGCGCGCGTCGTCTGTCTAGTTTGACGCTCTTAACAAACGATACTCTGATAACAAAATATCTAGAAAAACCCTCCGATTTTATACCCTTCCCGGTATCTGATTATTTTTTTTATAATAAATTCATATTCTACAACTCATAAAGAGGTTTAGGCTCGAAAAAAAATCCTAATATAAGTGATATTTTAGCATTTATTAAGATAAAATTGTTTCCGTACTTGAATGCAACAATTTACAAGGAATCGACCTCAAACTCGTTATCTTTCAGTGTTAATAATCACCTTATAAAGTATCGTGATAAGGTGATCTTCACTTATTAATAAGTGTAATATAGCACACTGATAAGCAGGTTATGATATGATGCTACAAGTAATTTTAAACTTTATTGTTTAATACTTAGTTTATTTTATTACACCCATATGTTTATGATGTTACCGACATCATAAAAATACGGATGGATGTCCATACTTACTAATAATAACTGCTATCAGTTACTAACACTCCCTTTCTTTTACCCTGACAGGGTGTATTGTTAACAACAGGGCCGTTACTAATCCTCCTCCCAAACATCAGGGAATGATAGAGATAGTTGTTTGAGTGAGTGGTTGTTAATTAGTATATGATGGTAATAGAATAATAAATCCGCCTGCGCTATCGATATACGCTGGCGGAGTACTAGAGATACAGTTGGTCCATCGTGACGAATACAAAAGGGATTAATCATGATGATTACTAGGCCGAGATCATATGGAGATCAATAAGACAAACATGACAATTTAGTAAGTAATGAAGTAGCATTTACTCCGGGGGTAAAGATGGATTGGCAATCACTACTCCCGGGGTGAATATTAAAAGAGGACGGGAGCTTCTATAGTAGAAGAAACATGTGATAACTATAGTTGCAATAAGGATATAAGCGATCGGCTGCCAAGCGTGCAATCTCTCCGACAATCCGATTGCGAAACAAATAAAAATAAGTTGTAGATAAAAAAGGTGTAACTATTCGACTAAAAGAACAACACGCAAAGTTGTTCGCATAGGAGAAGGGGATTGTTAGTAGTGAGGTCTAGTAAGATACTGTATAGGTCGACCTATACACGGTTCCCCTGGAAACCATTGTGGTTAATTCTTGTAAAATTCGTCACGACCGGCCAACTGACCTGCTTTTATTCTCACCTGTCATGTCTCACTCATGCCCCGCCATAGTATACCGATAACGCACGTGGCGTTACAATATCATTGTCACCCGTTAAAAAAAAAGATAATACGCAAGATGCGAACACAAACGAAAGAATGCTTTCAGAATAAGTATCTACTTTCTTGCATTAAATAAACACTAGTTAGGGAGGAATTTATTACATTATATCTCCAAACCCATTTTGGTTGGGCTTCCCTCTTCCGTAAAACAGTTTTGGTTGCTTGCTTTTTCTGTCGATGAGAGAATTAGGTTCAATATAAAATGAGCAACACCAAGGAATTGCCGGACGAACAGATGTATAATCTACTCGTATATTTAACATTTAGAAATTAAGTTTTGCATTGATCGAACTAGGAGTACTTATAATAATATCTTGTTTCAGATCAAATTCCATTTTGTGTTGGTGAAATGGTCTTATTCTCCAAACCTATCGCTAAAATTAGAATGTTAATTTGATATAATATTACAGCGAAATCCTTTTTTAAAGGAATATACTAATTTTCTAATAGATTTCAGCCAAAATTACAATAATTTTAATGTATGATAATCTTTAAAACAATAGTTTTGGGAAGCTATCAAATTAAAATATTAGGTTAAGAGATAGGTTTAAAGAAAAGGTGCCTCAGATTCAGTTGCACATTTAGATTTTTTTTTAATTGATGACAATGGAATGGTTATCCTCGTCTGTGCTAACAGTGTACGCTGGCGGGGCAACAGTGAGGGATGATAAGTGAGATGAAAAGGCAGGTCAATTAGCTCATCGTGACGGGCCACCTGATCAGGAATTCAACACGATGGTTTTCAGGAGAGACCACGTGGAGGTCGACCTGACAGGGTATATTGCTAGCAATGGAACGCATCACTAACAATCCCCTCACTACCCGCACACTTAGATTATGAAGTATATAGTGCGTTATATTTAGTTTATGGTTGCACAGGACACGAAATAGTGCATAACTTCCTAGTATCTTTGAATGGGGGAAAAGGGATTGTTAGTAATAAGGACTAACTGACCTATTACCAGCAATACACTCAATCAGATCGACCTCCACGCGGTTCCCGTTTGGAAAACATCGTGGTTAATTCTAATGGAATTCATCACAATGGGCTAACTGACCTGCTTTTATTGTCATCCCTCACTGATGCCCCACCAGCGTATTCCAATAGCGTGGGCGGAGTTATCATTCCATTATCATCCATTAAAAATAAGTGCCTTTGAATTGGACAATTCAGCTTCTCTACGATTATCTTAAAAATTACAATAAAGTGAGACAGATTTTTTCGGCTAAACGAAAGCCTATCGGACTACATAGACAACTGCCTGTCTGCTTATATAAAACTTTTAACTTATTTTTATTGATTATTCATAATTTTCTATACAGTGACTTCTAGAAATCATAGAACGATAATTATTATCTTAATTACACGAGTACTTCATCAATATTAAAAGCCGGATTAGATAACGTGATCGATTTTGAAATGTTAGAATTTAATTTTCCGTAAGTTTTATCTCACGTAATATAGCGTAGAGACATCAGTATTAGGTAATTAGATAATTTATAAATATCTTGTTATTCTCTCTGTGACAATACTCATGATAAAAGCCACTAAATTAAAATGTCTTAAGGCAGTCTGGCGTTGACATGACGTAAATTATCGAAAACAATACCGTTACCGTAAAAATATACTACTTGTTTTTTTTTTTATAGATCATAATGGAATGGTAACCTCTCGTCTCGTTAACTTATACACTGAAGGGGCACCAGTGATAAATGATAGGTGAGAATGAAATGGAAAGTCAATTAGCCTATCGTGATGAACACACCCAGGATTCAACACGAGTTTCCAGGGGGACCACGCGGAGGTCGACCTGACAGGGCATATTTCTATCAATGGGACTGGTAATCCACATTACTAAGTTATGTTTGATAAATGGATATTCTGAGATATAGTCGTAATAGGTAGTATTTTTAATCTATGAATACTTTCCTTTCTATGAATAATTCCTAAGACTAAATTTAACCTTTCTTTGCATAATGGTGGTAATTTCCACCATAACATTGAATGCCTAAAAATTATATAAAAGAACAAGTTCACTTTAAGTTGATCGTGTCTGGATATCTTTTTAATGTCTATTGCAGAAAAAAAAACATAGCTGTCAAATTTAATTTTTTAACCATTTTTCCTATAATTGTGAACATGCATTATATCACCTTGATTTATTTCACCAATAAAAAAAAAACATGCAAAGATGGGTTAAACCCTGTATTTCTTGTACCTCTATACTTGTGTGGGTTATATTTTAATTAAATAAGCATTATGTAACCACCCTTATCTAATGACCACATGAAATTTGTACAAAAAAAGACCAAATTAAATTTGTATACATATTTATTTTTTACGTTTTAAGGCAAATTAAACGTTTATTTACAAACAATAATTGTTCCAACTAAAGTTCACACTACTGTTCACAATCAAGATTAATACCAAACACCTAATTATTTACATTGAAATAAATAACAACATAGTAACTTAAATAAAACCAACACAACTTGCATTGACTTTTTATGTAAGACTTCGTGTGTATTGGCAGAAATAATAGTACTAATGTTATAATTGTACTGTAAAAATATTTTGATATTTTAGACAGTAACGTAAAATACGTATAGATTTTGAGCTGTGATAAACATCAGACGACTGACTGCAAAATTATCCATTACCTATTTCGAAATTTTAGACGTGAACCTTTATTATTAAATGTACTTGTAACTATATATTTTATTGCAAAAAAAACTATTCATCTATGTATATACAAGCCTCAGCAAGCAGACTTGTGCTTGCATTATTGCCCACTTATGATTAAGTGTACCGGATGGTTCTTAAGCTACGTTAGTAAGTGTATTTTTGCCGAGCATTCTCTATAGAAATATACATAAGTCAATCCTGTTATTAATTATGCAATAAAATATATATAAAAAAATGTTTAAGTATGCAAGTTTATCGACTTATTTCTGAAATACGTACGTATTATGCACGTATATTTAGGTTACAATGAATACAGTCAATCCTCTGTATATTTGAGCGAAACCTGAGCTGGTAATATCCATTCCTCAAAACAGAAACCAAAAATTAAGTACACATTTTATCCATTACGTACAATTTTTACATCCTGTGTAATTTCTAAAAAGATTTATTTAATTTCACTAGCAACATTTTAAAATCTGACATGACGTTTAAATTAGTCACAAACACAAGAAATACTTTTAATTAAGCGAAAATTAACAATAGCTTTCTACTATCATCAATTTAATTACATTAACCACATTTTATTTGCAATAAATTATTTATTATTTTATCTCTCTCATTAATTGAATAAACAGTATTCACTCTACTTGTTGAAAAATACAAATTAAAAAAATTGTGATTAACAACTTGTATTTTAGTCTATACATCCATTATGTTACAAGTTTGAAATTGGATATTTACAACCTGGGGTTTGATATGATTATTATCCACAATATTCTCTTTTGATGATTAAAAGAAACATTTAGTAATTTATAAATACTGCCAAATAATATTGGACTATCCAAAACCTATTACTACAACATAGCACTTTAATTATTAAAAAATCTTGAATTGTAGGACAAGAATTTAAATATAGAACAAAAAATATCTAATACCTTGTTACGAATATGGAGTACTAGATTGTTTTATTATTGTAGGATATGAAGTATGGTCCAAGAGAAGGCAAGACTAGGTGGCAAGGTCTTAATTATAGAATTTCTATTTGACTTTATGAATTAATATTTTTATTAAATTCAATACAACCCCTCCAGATAGATCGCAACCAAACCTATCGGTATTAAAATTTTTATTATCACCTGAGATAGAACAAGAAGCAGTATCGTTCTATCTTATCCACGCGGTAACGATGACGGGACTATCGATAGATTCGTTTGTCACTTATCCAGGGGACTGGATATATCATATACGTAGGTAAGCGGAAACAATTATTTCCATGTTACAAATCTTAATAATAATTGCCAAACGCTTATAAAAGGACAAGTAGGAAATTCTAAGGATTTCGCAGTCTTAAATATAGTATTAAATTTTGTCTACAATAGAACGAAATTATGATCAAAATGTTGCTTACTTTAACTGACTAAAAGTTGACCTAATTATCAATATTATATACAAATAGATCTCTCACTGATCTCACCTCTTTTTAAATATTAATAAAACGCCTGTACAAATTTTGAATACGTATACATCATAGAAACATGATCATAATGGGTGATCCATGGCCCATATTATATACAATAATATATGTTACGAAATATTAATTGATATTAAGGCAAGACTAACGATTGATATTAATAATTAAATTTGAATTTAAAATAAGATCTCCATATTAAAAAAAATGTATAATATGGTGCAATGGAAATTGGATATTTTGCACTTTTGCAATAAAATTCCTCTTACTTGGAATATTTGTCATTAATGAAATTAACCTATCAATTACTAACCATACATAACGTTTTCTTTATTTCTTATTTGCTACGTTATAAAAACAACCCGCTATGTTTATCTTCAGTGACGTTACGCGAAAATAAATAAATTCGTTCTATTATCAATTTATTATTACTTAGTTCAACGTTAAAAAAAATATTTACTTTTATGTGACGTAAGGCGTTAATCAACAAAATTATCAATGATTTATTCACAAATATTTAATTTCACTTCGTGCAAAATATTTTAATATGTTTTCTATTATTATCTTTGAAATGTTTTAAAAATACATGTTATTGTTAAAAGTTTCGTAAGTACACATTATGGTATAATGTAAGAACATCCGAATTACTTACAGAAAGGCTCGCATCACGGCCGCTTAAGACTAAGGGTCCTGGATGGTCCCGAAAATATACAAGGATTCTCGACTAAGATACACGTAAATTAATCCAGGTGTTCTTACAGATAATTCAAACTGTAGAAGAATACAAGAATTGTCTAATGAATATTATAAACTCAATATTATTGTCTTAATTTTATAAGCTCCATGGAGTAAATATTAAATACTTTGTGGTATAATCAATTAGGATTGTAACATGTTTTGATGTCAGAAAAAGAGATCAAATTGTAACATTGCAAATACTTTCACAAGAGTTTAAAATGAATGATTTTTGTGTATTTAAGTATTTTTCAATTGAGACATTTAATTTTAATACATTTAGTTTTTAATTTATATAAAAATTACACATACAACACAATTTGTGAATAATAAATGTAATATTATGTATCAATTTGCTCGAGTTAAGGCAAGATAAGTAGTATGAAATGAAAGGATATGATCTACAAGTACTTAGTTCTTTAAAAGTACAAAAAAATTCACTGCCGTCACAACTCACAAATTTAAGATATGAATAATTTATATTTACTATTATAAAATGAAGTATCGAACGTTTCGAAAATAGGCAAAAACGTTCGCATACAATAGTATCACATAATGTTGTCTTTTAAAAATGTAAATTTATATAAAATAATACTGAAAACAAAACGTGAATCTGTAATCTGTTTAAGGCCCTTCGATATTGCTTGGTATAACTTTTTAAGTACCTATACAATTTATATTTAAATATAGAATTAAATAATTTACTTTTTACACACATTAAACAATTCTAAAATACAATCTTTTAAGTACTTTTTAAGTACTAAAGATAATTATAATGATTTATAGAAATAATATTCACTATACTAATGACTAAAGATATGGACGAATGAATTGTGGATGGGACACAATGATATCTAAGTGATAAATGTATATCAAAAAGGCTATATAAAAGCATATTTAACACAATAAATGGGAATGTCAAGCTGCTACTTTCAGATATAACACAGACATTGAACACTTGATTATAAGAAATAGACAATATTTAGTTTCTAGTTTACTAAAAGATGTTCATTATATTAATTTGTCTTTTAATCTTTCTACAATAGGAGGGTTACCACAATAACGACTTTATTACTTGGTATTAAATGCATCGGGCGACATCTATCGGCTCGCTCGTTCTAATGAAACGTATTAATGGAGAAAGTGTAAAAAATGCTACTACTGTACTTAGTCTGTCTCACCGCTAGAGACGCGAAGCGTAGACACTTAAAACTGTTATTCCCTCACACAGAATAAAAAAAGAATTGACACTCGCAGACTTATATTGTACTATTATGACAGCATATTTTAGAATTTTAATTATTTCTATTTAATGTACCCTCTTTCCCAGTATTTTTTTTATTCTGTGTAACGCTTATGAACAAAATTTTATTTTAATTTACGTTAAAATACAAAATCGCTCTCACATATCTGAGACGGTAAGACAGGCCCTACACAGCAACATATTCAGTAATTATAAACAAAAGTCATAACAATACATTCCGTACGTAGGTACTTTTACTGAAAATGTCGCTGTTGCGATTGGTCAATATAAAGTAAAGATTGGCTAATTATTTGTATTACTGGAATACGTAAATGATACGAGAGTTTAAATCATTACTTTGTATTGACACCTACTGCGCTTTGATATAATATAATAAAATATAAAAGTGTCACGCTATAACTTCAACAGATAGAAAACAATTGGCACGGCTTGAGTTATTTAGCACTAAGAAACAATTAAAAAGGCACTCGACTATTTTAATTTATCCGTATATTGCACGTAGCATTGTTATTATTGAAATTTTATTCTGTAAAAAAAATGTAGTAGACGATCACTGAATGACAATAATAAAAAAATAATTAAATACTAATAAATTAATAGCTGCATATTATAATTCGTTAACTTTTCTCCATCAACTAAAAAAAATATAATGATAGGAAAACAGAACAAATTAAGTTCGTAAGGTTTTAACAGTTAATAGTGGATTAATTTTCGAAACAATGCATACTTTTAAAATTAAAAGAATACATTTTATTTATTTTTAAAGTATCACTTTTGTTAAGAAAAGGTTTTTTACCTAATCAAAAATTATCTAGGATCGTTTGATGACGATAGTCATAATATATAACTTACAATGATTGGCTTATGTTAGTGCCCTAAATATGAACTCCTTCATTATCCTCATAATTTTCATTCAATTTTGTAGTTCATATATTTCATAAACAAAGCGTAAAAAACAATACGTAAGAACAAAGTTCGCTAAAAAACAGTATCTGCCTTCAGTATAAAGGGTTTGATGTGAAACTAAATTACATAATTTCCCTGTCAAAAGTAAAATATTGAGTAAAAAGTAAAAATCTTTATTCCTATTGAATAGTTTAATTTTATATGCAACAGCAATATACGGACGTCAAAACGTACTAACAGCACGAATGCCGTGGCCCCCCTCGCTCAATCAACAATCAGCTGTATTTTGGATTCAAATACGACAGTCGATGCGCATGGGCAACTATTACTCATGCCACATTTATTGTAAAAAATTTTTAACCATTTCACTATTTTTTTCCATCAAATGTCTATCGTATATAGTATAAAGCAATGCTTAAGTTGCTCTTACGCTCGACTGCATTAAAATATAATACCTACATAACAAATCCAGTCTTTTGTTAGAAAGTTGGAACTCAGACGACGTCTTTGTTGTTTTGGAAGATTTTTAAAATTAAGCTGCCCAAATACGCTTATCTTAACATGCTTATTTTGAAGTTATTTTAATTCAATCTATTTATTTGATATAATCACATTTCAAGCGCCTATATTTTAAGCGCGTGAGCATTAATGTTACCTTATCTAAGAGTGATATTAGATTTCGCTATTTATTTCACTAGTGTTTTTTTTTAAGTATATTTAATATTAAATAAAAAAATCTTTCTCGTAATATAATGTGTGTATACAACCGTTTTAAATACGATGTTCATTACTGAATTGTTTCATAATGATTTAATTATAATAACAAAATAGATACGTCGTACACCAATTATGAATTGTTTTTTTCCACAAAGCGTTTGTTACGTAAATTTTGCAGTATGTAACCTTAAAAATAATTATGTCCGGTTCAATTGTAGTACTTACTTTTTTATTTAATATGCGAATAGACATCTACTAGTACCCATTATCACCATAAAGTGGTCCACATAACAAAAGATACATTACATTGTTTCAATAAGGCATTCATCGCAGTTAAGTAAGGATATCACTCGAGTCCTAACAAATTTACTAAATTACATACGAACTACAGTGTCTGGAATATATTAATTATTACATGATCAAAATAAATTATATTTTTCCATATCAGAATTAAATAACTTGCATTAAGGTACGAAATGCTATTTTGTATAAAAGATCCAATGTAATCCAATCAGTGAGGCACTTTCGAATAATCACTATTTTTGTTGCAACTTGGTTTTCCTCAGCAATGTATTTTATTTTGATTATATTATTTATTAACAATTAAAAAACCATTTACAGACATTTACGACTCAAAACATCTCTGGAATACTGATAAATATATTCATGTACCTAGTTACACATATTTCTAAATGAATAAATTATTTAAATAATAATACACAATATTTCTCTCGATATAAATAATACAGTTTCAATGGAATGTTTAGACAAAAAAATAAAGCGACTACTATAAATATTTATATACAAATACCGCTAGAAGACCACTAACTGTACACAATTAGGATTCAGTTCTAATACTACATAAAAGATTAGCAACCATTTATATATTACCCTTAATTCTAGATAATAACTGTTGAGCTCTTTTAGAACTATCACACTGTTTCTAGCACACTGGCAAGCCATAGTTTCTCGAGTAAAAATGGCAATACTCTCTCGGCAATGATCATTGTTAAATAACAATTATACTAACAACGGCGACATTAAATAATTAATTTATCTGTGATACTAATTTCCTTACATTCGCCGCGTAGACCAATTGTAAAAGTCATCTGGTACGAACTTAATCACACAAAATAACTTTTTTTGGAATGACAATCAGACTTATACACTTGCTCCTTTGTTTGTTCTTTGCATAAAAATCCAAAGACTAGGATGCAACACGGTGCAGGGCCGGCTGTTCTAGTAACGGCCTTATTCATTGTTGAACCTGAAGGAAACATCTTTATGGCCAAATTTTAAAAGATTTATTTTCGTATTTCCTTATTTAGCTTGTTAACAAGTGACTAGTGTCTAAAGACCTGATTTGTAGAAACACGCGCTAGTCATCATCGCATGCCTCGTCCAGGGCCGTATTCAAATCTCGCCTCGTCCTACTCAAGTCACCGTGTCAATCAAAATCACATGAAATGTATTGTTATCTATTTTCTACATAATAACACAGCACCTTTGCGACCTGGTATCGCCGACAACGTCACTGGTGTGGCCTGAGAAGCGGGTCACTGTCGCTGAACTGGACGACATGCTCAAAGGGTTCAGTTGCACTGGCATATCTTGTTTGGTCACCTCCGGTATCGAGTTCATACTATGGTTGTTCGATGTGACGCTGCTCTCTACCGGGCTGCCGTTCGTTCTTATTTGTGCTCGTTGTTTTTTCAAATCTGCAAGAGTGCCTGGAATGTACCAGGTGGGTAATTAGGGCTTGTATAATATCACATTTTAAATTAGCGTATTTTACTATACGCGTATACGTTATAGCATGGTAACAGGTCACTAAAACTATAAAAAAAAAAAAAAAAAAAAAAACTAAAAGCATCTTGCAGATTTAACAAAATATGTGATTGTTAAAAAATTATGATTATTGATTTTGACTCCGAAAATCTCAGCCAGGTATTTGATAATAAAACTACCAAAATGCCAACTGCACCATGCTAAAACACGGGGAGTACAGTTTCAATTTGCATTCTCCGAGACAAGCATAGATGTTTCTATGAATACGTGCATGTTACACATTCAATGCAAGTGGAGCATCACTTTCACATTTATTATGTTAAACATTATGCTTATCTTCTTTGGAATAATACAAGTGAACGCTTGAAAGTACAACTAATATATTTAAATCATTAATTGGTGTAAGTGAGACAAATATAAAGCAGATAATAAATTAGTACAGAAATAGAGAAAGATGTGTAAAACAAACGTAATAAAAGATAAGATAGAAATATAATAATGTGAGAGTGCGTGTAACAAAAACAACAGAAGTCTAACTAAATCCCAAACGATATCACAATAAGAAACATTCAGCCCTAATTACGGTATGCACAACTATTACGGTTAATACGAAACCTAACCAGACTTATAAGTATGATAAATGAAAAGATTATAATATGTATGAAATGCAACTGAACGAAATCTTGTTTCAGTTACGTTACGTACATATCAAAATCATAACAGTTGCCATAATTCGGGCTCAGGTTTCGTACGTGTTACAATAGATATACATATCATAACAAAGGCCCTGGACTGTACATCGCATGCAACTACAACCGGAGACTGCTTGCCTCATATGCATCCTCGAGAGCGATTCAATATTCGATACCGGTAACCTCCAAACTTCAATGGGACTATTTGTTAACACTGTGCAAAACTGTTAGAATAATTTTATATGAAGTTAGACAAGTAGTTACAAAATGTGCTATGTATATTATGTGCGTTTGTCAATTGTTCGTAAGGATGCATATAATTACCTGCATTAATCATGACGGTGACATGAACATTGATTTTACCATTATTGTCTGTGGTGTAGGTCGCGGTGCCGCCATCTGTGATCGCGATTTGTTTGGGGTTCACTATCACCTCTTTCCTACAGTCTAAAACGTCCTCCACCTTCAACGAGTCGTTATCTTGTCCCTCTGGCGCCTTACGGACGCCGTTCGGTAAATTTCTCTCGTAATGTTTTTGGTCGTTCATAGGATCATGTTGTGATATCGGTACAGATCCAGGCGCATAATTGGATGCGGCATTCACACCGAACAGAGGATTCGATATTCTCGGTTGGTTGTACGATACGTTGTTATCGTTTGTTTTGTTGTAGGAATGTTTGGGCACCGCGTAATCAACATTCGAGTCATAACTCTGGTTGGATGTTGTAGAGCCAGCGGATAACCGTTTGTGTGGTAGATCATCGGGTTGCAACTGATTCACCGTGTTCTGATCATTCTCCACACCGTTCGTCAAGCCCTGCAAATCAGAAAACGAAAGTTAATTATAATAAGAAATATAAATAATTTATACCATATAATTAAAAATTGTACATATCAGATTGGGTTTCAATTTTACTAATTTTCAAATCTATCAATACAGTATCTAAAACGAGTATTACATATATTTTTTTTTCTGTCCAGACTTCATTGAAGCAATCGTAATTTAATAAAAGTTGGTTGGAACGAAATTTATAAGTATTCGAACGTGTTTTACGATTACTGGTAAAAACACGTAATGTATAAAATTAATTCTGTTGGTAACGAAAATCATAAATAATAATTATGGCGTAATTATTGTAAAGAACATTACAAAAATGTATTATATAAATGTTGAGACGGAGATGACCGAGTCAAATATAAAATTAAAAGTAAAAACAGACTCCAAATAATGGAACAAGGCCGTAAGGATAATGATGAAGGGACAAACAATGGAAACCTTGACGGGACATTTCAAACCTCGCTTTTTTCAATTGACTATTATAAATAAAGATATAAAAATATGATTTTTTTTTCATCTCCCCTTGAGAAACAATAAATTAATTTTAATTTTTTTGAAATATAATATTAACAAATCTAATCACATCATAAACATTTCTCTTTAACACTTGGGAAAATACACCAAATTGGTTGTTCTAATATAAAAGGTTATCGATTAATACACAAACAATATAATGCAATCGATCAAGGGTCTTTTATTATTAACTGTAGCAAGTAATGGATTAAACATCAAACATTTTCGAAAATTATAGATAGCAAGTTATTAAAACTTACAAAGATGAAGTTACTACTTCAAATTACACGTAACTTTAAACAAGGTAGATGGAGAGATGAAGACGCTATAAAAATGTATCCAAAATCGACGGTTAACTATCAATATCTCAGTGACATTTATAAAGTAGTTATACATTTTTTCAACTTGCTTCTTTTAATAAGGTTTCATAGATAAATAATATTTCACATCAACTCAATAGCAAAAATGAAACCTTTATAAAATCACTTTGTCACTTTGTCTGTCTATTTGTCAAGAGCTTTTATTTTAGAAAAGCGTGGAGATATCAAGCGGAAATTAATATTACATACTCAAGTTTGCAATCCTTTGAAGCCGTAATAAGGATAACATAATCAAAAGATACGGTCGTTCACCGCGTATAATTTGACATTTGAAAAAGAATCAAAATACATAAGGTCCTTCCCTTTGGTCTGGAATTATGAAATTTGTTAAACAGCGACATTGTAAAGCACAAGTAAAGGAAAAATCTGAAAATCACTTTTTATAAATCTTTTTTTAATTTGTATAGGACCCAATTGTACGCATGTACAAACCGAGATTGTGTTCACATACCCGATATCGTAATCCCAACACCTGCGGTTCCTTGCGCATACGACGCAAGTTGTCGTGTGTCAAAAACATAATATCCAGCGGCATAGTCAATGATCAACAAAGCACAACACATAGCATGTTCACTTAGTCTCACGAAAAATCCTCCACAGAACAAATCACTAACACTTTATGTGGACGTCATAAAGGAAGAATTGAAGTTCGAAGGGGAAAATTTTTATGTCAAAATGCATTATCGAGACGAGTTGGTATTATAGAATGCGTGATGCGTGCTGCGCTGACCATGCGAACTGACGTGAGGGGCTGCCTAACACTCGGACAGAGGCCGCGTCGTCGCCGCCCGGGGGAGAAATCGCAGGAAAATGCACTCCGTTACACGACACGAGAAAAACGCATACCGCAATGGGTATATGCGGTGTCGATGTCAAAATTGTTCAATAATTATTACTCTCATAATTCGTACTACTCAAATATATTTAAAATTAAGACTTTTCATGAACTCCGAAGTGTAAGTTTGACAACAAAGTTTAACAATGAAGTAACTGTGAAAGACCAAAACGAGAATAAACTCTCTCGATTAACAAAACATTCATCAAAATCTATTCACATTTGAACATACATAAGATCACGCAAGACAGAAAAAAATAGTGGATTAATTAACCACTTCCACTTAAAAGTAAGTTAAAAAGAAAATGTGTATTTTGCTACGTTATTGTTGTATATTTATTTTGTAAAATCAATTAGTGTAAATCATAGACAATATAAGATTAGGAAATTAAGATAGATAATAGAAATTTAACAACTATAAAAATCTGGAGAAACGACATGAAAGAGAAAAATAAGTTTTCGCTTAAAAGAATTTTCAAAACAACGAAATTCAAAGGAAAACCCTGAAAAGAAAGGTCCACAAATTTGTGATTAATAACAACAAGTGAAATAATCCATACATTAGTAATTCAAAAGATTACTTTAGTAAAAAAAGACTGTTTTATTATGAAGAATGAGTGGCTCACTAAATGCGCCTGTCTGTATAACTTATTAAATATGCACATAGATATCATGAGGTGTCAGATAGTCTGTCAGAAAAGACATCTAGAGAAAACTTTTTTCTATTGTTTTTACACATGAGACGCATATAAATTGCACTTTAATGGAACGATAATGAAGAAAATGTAACACGCTTCTGTAAATCGATCGCTCCAATAAATATACTCAAGTAGAGACGAACATGAATTTAAGTATAATTTATTTTTATTTTTAATTTGGTTGAAAATTGTTATGATAATATATTAAAGTATAATAATGCACACCTATTAGACACCAGTACGAAATTACTGAGCAAACAAGAAGACACGATAGTTGTACAAGTATGATTAATTATCTGAGTATAATTACTATCGTTCTCGCGTCGAAAGCAGAGAAAGTACCAAGCGGACCATATTGTTCTTACGAGATAATATGAATAGCTGAATGTTCTATACCTATTCCATAATGGGAATTCATATAAGTACTAAACTCTGAAAGCAAAGTATTAACAAAATTTAGATGGGAATAAACTAATAATATTTTTTAGTTACCGCATTCGAGTATTCTAACACTAATGACCCTATGTTTGACTGGGAGAGAATGCTTTTAGCATTAAGCCCGCCATGTACACATATATGTACTAATGAATGAATAAATAAATAAAATAAAAAAATATCTACTATTTTTATGCAAATGGATTTAACAAATAAGTTAACGGCCCACCTTATCAAAAGTGGTAACAAATATATTATAACGCCCATGGAACCCCTTTCTATGCATTGGCATTTCTGAGGACCATTGTGTTATGCCTCCGTGCAAATCCAATGGTAAAATTACAGTAATTTTACTACCTCTCTTCAAAGTCAAATCATCATCATATTAGCTTTTAATACTGCTGAACATAAGCCTCCCCCTAAGAGGGTTTTGCCAGTAGTTGTCACGTTTTGCAGGCGGATTGGCAACCACAGTTAGGCTTTAGAGATGTTTTAAGAGAGAGGCTGCTGGCCATCAATTGCCCTCCCTTAGTCGCCTCTTACGACACCCACGGGAAAGGTTAGGGTAGCTTATTTTATGCTGGGGCCACACGATAATTCAAACTCAAATACAGTCACACAAACATAACAGCTTAAAAACAATAACATGATTGGATCAGAGATACCAATGAAGAGAATGTACAAAGTCTGCCTTCTGTAAACGGTATAACCTGGATAAAATAAAACCTATTCCCAGTTCATTCCATATAGTACGTAAGTAGCAAATTTCATTGTGATTTATTAAGTGCTAAGGTGCTAAGTGGAAACAAACATACTTTAACATTCATATTACTAGTAAGAATTATATTTGTAAAATAAAATATTCCTTTTGGGCAAGCAAATAACTACTGTATATAGAACAAAATTATGAATTAGGGTTACATTAAAATTAATGGTCTCCAATATAAGAAAAAAGTATGTTCCCAGAATGGAGTTTTATTCAACTATTTTTATGATTGGAGGCCGTTAGCGCTTAATTCTATGTGTGTATTAATTATTTGTTGAAACTACAACACTACGAAAAAAAAACCTTATTCAAAATACTACGGACGCTAACGGGATGAAAAATTGTGATCAAGGTGGAACAGAGGTATTTAACAACTTTGTGTTATAAAGCTAGTCTATCGAAACAAATATTTGGTTTACGCATCTGGAACGGAATTAACTTTTTAGTGCTATATAAGGTATGCCAACAATTAAGTATGTTTACGCTAGCACACACACACACAGTTTTCTTATATCTGGACTCATTTTTGTAGACTATACAAAATGCACAAAGAAAGGTATTTCTACTAGCTATGAAGTATGAAAGCCTGCTGAGTATATTTTCGTAATCTAAGACTCATATCGTTCTAAGAACTTTAATTTAATGATCATCTACATCATTATAGTTAAAATTGCTGTAATTTTAACTTTATTTTATAAATTAAAAAAAAAATGACCAATTTCAAAAATATCGTTTCAACTTAAGATTTGTTATTCCACAGTGCTGAAAATGTGTGAAAAATGAAGTGGCCAGTAACACCTATATTGCTCTCCAAATTTATTACTTTTAGATAACAATCTATTATACAAAGAATCTTTTGCAACGTTTGTAAAATGGAAATTACTAATTACACGCATAAGTACGAAGTTAATTAGTTTTTGTGTTTTTTTAAATTATTTCGACATAAGTTTTTAAAATAAGTTAACAAATAAACTACGTAGTTCATTTCACAGATTTTTACATGTAATAATATTACAGAAAGTTGTACAGCTATAGCGGTTCTCATTTACTATTATTTTTTCAAAATCGAAAAGAATGGACAAGTAACTTAAAAAAATAACCAATTTTCTAATACACTTATATTAGATATTTTGTAGCTATTATAACTTATTATAAATACATAATTAAAATCTTTACTAATATAATGAGGAAGTATGTTTTTACCTACTGGCGCCCTAACGGCTCAAACATAAAATTACACGTATTATAAACCTATTAATTAAAAAAAAATCCGCTTATTGATTGTAGGTACCAGAAAATAGTTTTAATAATTATCAACAAAATAAATATTAAATTTGCAATAATCAAAGATAATTCTCTACCAATTTCAGTTCAAGTTCAATATTTCCAAAAATTACCAAGATATATAAACCAATTACGAGTAAATATGTGAGATACCTAGCCGTTTATTACTAGTGAAACGCATGTATGTTTACATACATCGTCTTAATAGTATTTAACATGCAACACAGTATGTTGCATGGGGACCTAGAAATCCATCCGGCGCAGTGACCGAGCGGTCCCATAAATAAGCCGTTCATACAATAACTAGTCATTACATCGGTTGTTGAAGAAACGTCTAGATTTGATTCTTTATGTCTGTTGCGCCACATACCGCTTGTTAATACGAACGTAAAGCCTAGCCAAGTAGGCCTACGGGACTAATTGGTGGCCAATTAAGAGGCAGGCTCGATAAATACATCATACAAAACATACGAGTACATAAACGCTGTTACTTTATGATTTTGTTCGAATTAAATATGTATCAGTCACTCATCATACAGTATATTCATCATACAGTAAATTTTTGTGGTTTTAAGCATTCTCTATTTTTTAGGGCACGTCATAGATTGGAAATCAGAAAACGTATGTTGTTGTTATTGTGTCAGCCGTTAACTGTCCACTGTTGAACATAGACCATCCCCACAAGGGTGGTTTTGCCAGTAGTTGCCACGCTTGGCAGGCTGGTTGGCAACCGCAGTTGGTGATGTTTTAAGAGGGACACTGTTGCCCATTCCTCGGCCACAAGTTCCCTTAGTCGCCTCTTACGATAGTCACGGAAAAGGAAGGGATGACCTATTCTATGCCGAGACCTACACGACTATCTAGAGCAGGGATGGTCCACTTAAATAGACCCAAGATCTACTGTTTACTGACAAAACTCTGTGCGATTTACCAATTACATACTTCTTAAAATACCAAATGAAACAACATAGTTCTGTACACATTTATGTAGTATAGTATTGTAGTATTTTTTATTTTATCATAAACGGGAAAACATAAAACTGAAAATCTACATCTTCCGTTAGATTAGCAAAAAAAATTATATTTTTTGCCTTGCCACGATGGACTGGACTAATAGTCGTGATCGACTGCTCGATTGCAATCGACCGGTTGGCCACTTCTGTCCTAGAGAATAGGCTAGAGAATATACGAGTATATACTTTGATAGAAATCCTTAGTATGTAAAAATTATATATTTTTATTGTAAAATTGTATCATATGTCTATACACGAATTGTAATATTATATAAATTATGTACAAGGTTTCTAGAATTCCTACCTATGATTACACTTTTTAAAAATACCTTCTCTTATGTAATTCAGGGTAAAATGAAACTAATAAATCATTCGTTATTAGTCACTTAACATACCTACCTAATTACAATCAAGATATAATAAACATAATGCGTGCCTGTTTGTGTATAGTACGGTGAAATATTGCGCAATGTGCAGATACAAAAGGTAGATAACCTAAAAATCCATCCGTGAGTGATAGTGATACAAAAATAACGAGTTCATTAACATAACAACGCCATAGTTTATTGCGAATAATGTATCGTAATTGCGTAGCTTACGTGCGGCTAATCGGATTAATTAAAAAGTACGCCATTTTATGAAATTACTAATCAACTAATTAGTACTTCAGTAGTATTAGTGAAAATGTAAAATTAAACATATTATGTTGTTTTCACAAACATATGAATAGAAGTTTATTAAATGTTTTAAGAAACGAAAAAATCATACAAAATTATCCACATAAAACCAACATAATCTTAACAAAACTAGAATGAGAGCAAGGCGACAGTAAAACTTCTGAATAAAAAAGTACAATTTAAATTAAAATTGGCGAACACATCGTCGAATGTACAAAAATTACTAAATACAAAAAAAAACACTTTAATAGAGAACCACCTCTTTCTTATAATTGGTTATAAACCAACTAGTAACATTTTCGTTTCATAAGGTGAAACCAATCCTATATAAAAGTAAGTAGTTTATAATATAGCCTATTTATATCCATGTGGTCCCGGCATAGAATAGCCCACCCCTTCCTTTCCCGTGGATGTCGTAAGAGGCGACTGAAGAAAATGATCGAGGTATGGGCAGCAACGTCCCTATTAAAATATCACCTAAACTTAACAGCGGTTGCCAATCCGCAGTGGACAGTTATATATATATATATATATATATATATATCATATTACTTATTTTTATTATTTCAAATTTAATGTTACTTTAATATACAACACTGAAAAACCCGAAGAAAAAAAAAACGAAAAATATAACTTTACGTATGTATAAGTTATACGATTGAATACATAAGCAATCAGTTGCCATAAGAAAAAGAACGATAATAATTTGTTAAATTATGCGAATTAATGTAAAACATTACACAAGGTCCGTTTGGATGGACGCATGATGCGTGCCGTGTCGCTTACACACTTTTCCTTTTTACCGTTGGAAACTACTCAATGAAATCTTACTATGCGATTCTGGAAATCGAATTGACATTTCTCGTGAAATATCGTCACCGATATTACATTCAGCACGCAATATGACTAAATATATGTAGATAATAATTATAAAACTATATTTGTTTTCACATGCATTCAGCTTATAATAATAATTATGTATTTAAAATTTTATTATATCAAATAAATCACTAACCAGTGGTGTACTTTAGCCACCGTCCATCAGTTGTATCTTGGTCAATGGCCTAAATAACTAAGTAAAACTAAATGTTGTACTTTAGCCAGAAGGATGTATTTTTATTTATTTCATATTCTAATATTACATTATTATGTTATATTTATTATATACGAAGGAAGTTTTATAGGAAAAATACTAAAAAGTTTCTAGCCTGTTAGAGATAGCCTAATTGAATGGATTTAAATCTGTACCCGATAAGTGGCATTAAAGAAAAAATTAAAACGCCTAAAAATTTTATAATGTAGGTACCTGTTAAGTTTTCGTTGTATTTTATGTTTTAATGTACCTATGTCTATGTACCTACTAGTCCTAATGCCTATTATGTGTCATGAGTTATGATTAAGAGAGTAATAAAAAGTTACTTGTTTGTGTTTTGATTTAGTTTCTTAAATAAAAACAAAAATAATATAAATGTTATGTTTGTTCCTTTAAGAATTTTCAATTTATATATTTTACTAGGCCTAATAGAACGAATTTGATAGAAAAAAGTTATTAGTTTTTTTAAATACCTATAAAAATAAAGAAGTTTGCTCCCACGAACACTCAGATTATAGAATGAGCTCCCTGCCGAGTTTTCCCAAGAGACTACAGCTTGGGGGTTCTTCAAAAGGGAGGTAAATAGATTTCTTCATGGTAGGCAACACGTGCGTAACACCCCTGGTATTGTAGGCGTTCATAGGCTACGGTAACCGCTTACCATCAGGTAGGCCGTATGCTTGTTTGCCACTTCTGTGGTATAAATACCTATGTTTTATCCCCAAATTCTTAACGTGTTCTAGGTACAAAATAAATAAAAAAAAAAAAATAAGAACGAAAACAAATCTAACAATTCTAGTGCTAGTGAAATACTGTTATGAATGACGTAATTTTTAAACCAATGTGTTTTTATAAAGCATCTGTCTTTTATTACGCCAAATTCGGTCCAAAGAACTTGTTCTGGTAAGTAACGTAATGACTTGCATACATGTCTATTCCAAAGACTCTTAATTCTTTATATAAAGTACGGTCTATCCATTTCTCCGATTGATATAAGTCACTTTACACACAGTATGTGCTTCCTTCCACTTTTGCATTTTACGTATATATCTGTTTTGTCAATCTTTCTTCTGACATTCTTTCCATATGTTCGTACCAACTTAATAGGTCCTTTCTCATTTTCTTTCAAACTTACTCGCTTCTATATTAAAAAAGCAATCTGCTATCTTGCAATTATATAACAAGTGTAGAGAAGCGAGGAATAAACTCATTATGCTTGATTATCTCTTCATTGTGTAGTCTTGGATAGATAAATGAAAATATTGTCTTAAATATATTTAAAAAAGGAACATATACTATTTTAAACTCTTCTCTAGTTATTCACTTAAAGTTTATATATTTAACGAAGTATTTGCCGTGATTAATTGGGAGTCGGCAGACTAATTATAAAATAACAATTACCAATCTTTGCACGATCTCTTATCAATCGATTGCCAATTGTTAAATAATTGTAATGTTGTTATGAAGCACAATTGATTCATTCATTATTCATTATACGCTCAATACACTTTGGCAAACAATGCCAGTAGTAATCAAATATGAATAGTAATTTTAGTTCCTTAATTGCACTGCAGAGGCAGCACCGACGTTTATTACTGATCGCTAACTAATCGCTTTTATGTAAATACAAAACATGTCAAAAATGAAGATTGACAGCAATGATTAAATATCGCAAACTGATTGTAAGACACACAATTAAAGAAAACCTATATTGCAACACTGTTTTAAAGCATCCTATTCAATTGATGATGACGATAGATACAACAACTAGATACTATGAAATGACAATGAGACTGATCTGTTTAGCTCGCATAAATCTAGCTCGTTAATATATCACTGACCTGCAACTCGTCGTCGACCGCCGAATCGAAAGTCTCCCGAAGCCGTGCTTCACCCCTAGCGTCCGCTTTGGCCGCCAACTGCTTCTCACGTAACGATGTTCTTCGTACTGATCGCACTCTATAGACAAAAAACACATAAAATAAAAAAACGCGCCTTAAGCAAATTGTAACACTATTCATTTTGTAATTTATATTCATATTGACGTGCCTATTATTTTGTTATCTTTCATTTTTTTCCTCCGCCAATTCACATTTGCTATTCAACATTTAAAAGTCGTTGAAAATACGTGTGGTCCCGACATAGAACGAGCCACCCCATGAGACTCCCATGAGAGTCGTAAGAGACGATTAAAGGAAGTTAATGGTTGAAGGATGGACAGCAGCGTTCTGCTTGAAACGTCACCAAAGCCTAACTGAAATCCCAACCCACCTGCCAAGCATGAAAATTACTGGCAAAACCCCCCTTATGGGGGATGTCTTTGTTCAGCAGTGGACGGTCATGAGTTAATATGATGATTAAAAAATGGACTGGAAGAAATTTCTTCATTCTGTAATAAATAAATCATACAGATTTATTTATACATAATCGGATTGTACTTATTTGTATATTATGAAATCTGTATCCTATAATTTAACATTTTACTATACAATGTTTCAAAATCAAACAGTCATTTCTACTCACTGGGAATAAGCCTCTCATAATGAGAATGTATCAACGGACTAATAGTATAGGACGGGTTAACCAAACTGGTTAACTGGTTAAGGTTAACTAAATCGTAAAGTAGGTTTTTGAACCTTACTAATCTTCTTCTCTAAGTAGGTTTAAAGGAAACAACTACAATTCTGCATATATGACCAGGGGAAAAATAGAACATGATATATCAAGTTGTTTGGCAGTATTAATAGGCAATATCCTCCTGTCACAGTTGAAAACATTTTTTTTTTTATACAACTTAGAATGGCAAACAAGCTGACGGCCCACCTGATGAAAAGTGGCAACCGTCATGGCTGGCATGAAACATGGCTTTCGTTTTTCGTCAGTCCAATAAAAAAGCCAAATTAAAGAATATATGTTCTGTATGTATGTGATAATAAAAACTGATATGGACCAACAAATAAGTTCATCACAATTTTAATACTGTGAGAGTTGCGCATTAACAAACGCACAAAAGCGTTTACTGCATATTTATGATTTATTCCTTGTACCGTACCTGCTGGTGCTGGCCGTGGAGGAGGAGCGCCTGGCGGCGGCGGCGCGGTCGGAGGGCCTCCGCCGCCGCTCCTCCTGCTCGGCCGCCAGCCGCAAGATGCGCGCGCGCATCTCGCCCTCCTCGCAGATGTCTGCAAACAATGCACATTTTAACATTTAGTTCCACAGCTTTTTTAACGGACATAGAATAATAAAGAAACAAACGAACGAATTATTTTTGCAATCAACAGGCTTTATTCCTTATTGTGTAACGATTAAAGCTGTCTTTTTTTTTACTGCTTATTGCGAAACAAAAGCTACTTTTAAAAGTATGCGTTCGTATGTACGTAGACGTTATAGAAGTAGTAAGAAAAGCTACTAAAATAGAATATTTTCGATCTAGTATGTTTACAAAACGTAGAATCATTATTATTTAGTAGTGCGAAATATACTTGTCCAGTACCCAAAGTAAAAATTCTGCTAAGATCCAAACTAGGTGGGATAACTGAATGGATAAATTATTAAAAAAAAACTTCAATCTTAACAATATTAATGCAATGGAGTAAAACATTTATACACATTATGCTTGTATAGATAATTTTAACTAATTCTTACCTGCTGGAGTCTCGTCGTGTTTGTTTCTCACGTTGAGATCGGCTCCATATTGTACTAATAATTCTAATACTTCTAACTGAAACAAAACAAAATATTTTTTAAAATTACAATTTATCCTTAATTATATCATAGAAAGTTTTATACATGATGAAATATATAAAAAAGAATATCTACTTGTTACATAATGTCTTGGCAGCATCAGTTTTCAGCAATTTACATGACAAAATATTATGTATATTTTTTAAATGCGCTATACTTTTTGTATTAATAATTATTTTTATGTAACTTAGATTGGTAAAAAGGTGATAGTCCACCTGATGAACAGTAATCGCCATCGCCTACAGACAATTACAAAACCAAAGATTTCACCGAATACTGTAATAACTAAGATGTGTTGTCTCAGTACCTACTGAGACATCACACCTAAGTCATTGGATTTTCTGCTCAGTAAATGTTTTCAATAATAAATAATAAATTCTGTTGCCATTCAATAAAACATTATCATCGGGAAAATGGTATGCACTTGTGTCCACAAAATACTTTAATGACATGCAATGAAATGAAGTAACTTCTTTTAATAAAAAAGAATAACTGATTTTAATTTAATATATAATAGAGTTCAAGCAGCAAGTAGATTTTCTTTTTATTTTATATTCAGCACTGTGTACTTTACACTGCTGCAACAATATCAATTACAATATGAACACCGCCTATCATAATTTATTTTGTTCATCATATATCCAAACATTTTCTATGGGAGAATGTCCAGACTGGAGTCTACACATAACAATTAGCAATGGCATACATGTCCCCAGCACGCGGCGGCGTGCACGGGCTGCCACATGTCGTGGTCGACGACGTCGGTGGAGGCGCGGTGCTCCAGCAGGAACTCCACCACCTTGATGTACCCATTCGCTGACGCTATGTGCAACTGGAATAGAATTAGAAAGGACATTAAAATAATGTACATTATCAAAATAATTTCTTTAATTGACTGATTAACAGTTGACATTTGTATATCTTTCCAAATCAATTTCAAAAAATCCAAATCAATTTATAACTGACGAAGTTATGAGGTAATAAAAGAAAAAAATATATAACCGAATTGAAAACCTTTTTCTTTTTGGAGGTTGAAAAAAAATATCAACAGAATGTAATGTTACGACTAACTGAACTATTTTACCATACCTTCGGTAGAAAAAACATTTTGGATTGTTGCCGTTGTAGTAAATATAACCCACAATTTATTTCACTTAGACTATTATAGTAGATCTTTTTTCATACTTTTTGCATATAACAACCTATATTCATCTAATCTCTATATTGAGGATAACTCTGAAACTATTGAACCGAGTCTAGAAATCATCTCACTATTATTATTTATATAATCGTCAACTGATTCAATAGAAAGTATACTACTTCTTATACACTTCTTGGGCATGGTATAGATATCCCTGAATAACATAGGCTATGTTTCTCACAAAAATTAACACAGATGAACATATAAAAAAGCATTAATTATGATATAATAAATAAAATGTTAACAGTTACACTTACCAAAGTAGCTCCCTGATTATCCCTCGGCTCGTCCAAATCCATGCCTTCCTTCACCAGCTCTGCCACATCCATCAACATCTTCATCTCCGTAGCTGCTCGTGTTTCGTCTATTAACCTTTGCGTCACTCCTCTAGCCGCCATTTCACTCTCGATCGCATCTAAGGTCCTTTCTTCTTCGCAAATATCGTAAGGCATGTTACCGTCTCCATTGACCGCTAATAAGTTGGCTCCTCTTTGTATTAATATACGGACAAGATTCAGGTTCCCGCAGGTAGCTGCCGCGTGGAGAGGCGTCCATTTCTCGCTGTCTTCGGCGTTTACATTCGCCCCGTGGTCGAGCAGGAGCCGCATCATCGCCTCGTTGTTGTCGATGCAACACTGGTGAAGAGCTGTGAGGCCGTCTTCGTTTGTTGCGTCCGGGGTAACACCACGAGCAAGTAGACGCCGCACTGCAAAAAAAATATTGTTTTTAATTCAAAGGTGTTGACGAGCTGAGAAAAGTTGTATGACTATTATTGTTGTTATTATAATAATATTTTTATCTTAAATAAACTTATAAAAAATCTTTAGTCCTTTTGTACCTTACATACTAATGTAGGTTTACATAGATGTATATACTACATTTCATTCATATCCATTCATCCGTCTGATGAATGAATGAATTTATTTACAAAAAAAGATAATTAAGTATATAATATCCGAACTGTCACATTAATAATATCGGTAGGATAAGACAGAAATATAAATTATAAAAATTCAAGCTGATCTACACTCTACAGAGCTATGTGAATCCCCCTGGGAAAGTCCTATTTTCAGAAACAATACGTAATTCAATCCGCGTATTATATGGATTTCGCTCAAAAGGCTCTAAGATAACGTGTGCAATCAGTTATTTTTAGATGTATACGAAAAATATAAAATGAATCTATTCTTATTCATCAAATATGTATAAATATCATATCTCAAATATATTGTTCACATATGATTGATGGCGTGACTTTATTTGACGTCTTATTTGCCTATATTTTATAATATTTGCACAAAAATATTCGTAACTTAGAGCAATGATAAATACTTGCATTATGCTAAAAATAGTACAAGTAAAATTTTATATTTGGACATGATAATAACACGTGTACATAGTTGAGATAACGTTTTATATAAAATATTTATAATGTCTAAATAAGTTTTGATTGTATGTATAAACTCCATAAAATAAAATGCAGTCATATAATTGATCGTACTGCAATGACATACTATTCCTTTCCCGCCCATAACATATTCACAGGCGTCTTAACAAAACAAGCGAATTGTTGCTTTAAATAGTGCGTATAATACATTTTCAATTACCAACATAAATTAATTCTTTGAGTCCCAAGTCCAAGGAACGGCCTTTTGAACGCACCTTCAATTGACTATAAACGAGCAATTGACCATGACTAAACTTGACCTGTGTTTTATATAACATGCAATAATACATTTTAATGTTTGCCAGGCTCCTTCCAGACATAGTTCAATCATAAAAAAATATTCCTAAAATTATATACTACAGTAAACTCGTATATAAAATAATGAAAACATAATCAAATTTTAACAAAAATTGGTTACGTGTTGATTAAGAAAAAATCTCTAAATGAATTTTGCAACAAATCGAAACAATGAATTCATTAGTATTTGATTTGCGCTACTATTGGACATCAGCTAATAGCCCGTCTTATGGTCGGGTCAATTATTCATTTGATTGTATTTTCATAAATTATATTGAAGTATTGTATATTTTATTTTAGTTCTATTGACGACACACACGAGTTGTGTAAACAAGTACACGGCTTACCAAAACGCAATATGCAAAGATCTTAATTACATGAGTCTTAATTTTGACGACGAAGATCTAGTACCGATTTGATACGTTCCAAATTCCGATGATTGCGATTTGATACTGTTTGTTTGAAAATGGATTGCCCACAGCCACTTCCAATGATTGCGCGTACTGCGCGGTTTCAGAACCTCCCACGAACACTCAGGTAATGGCTGTTTGTTTCAGTGTTTTCGGTATTGCGTGTGTACGGATCACTTACAAAAAAGTAGAGTATTTCTATCAAGTGTGTCACTACTCATAGCACAAACTTTTAGAATAGACAGCGCTGTATAATATGTGAAGTAGATCCAATTTATTATTTACTGGCTTTATTTCGCGACTTTACTCACGTGTATCAGTATATAAAATATCCTTTGCTTAGACTATATAGATAGAACATCGAGCCTCAAAAACGGGTTAACATTTTGTCCGTTAATTATCAAATTAAATCGCTTTTTTGTCAGTGTTCTATATACTTACGCATAAAATGTATTTTGACGTATTATTTAATAAATAAAATGAGTGTTTACGCATTAAAAAGATGAATAAATCATAAGACAAAATAAATATAGAAATTATAAAGGTATCACTCATAACTATTTAACACGCAAAATTGTATAAAAAAAGTTGAGCCGATTTTCTCAAAGCATTTCTATGAAGACACTTTGTCTATATAATCTAAGATTCTATGTTAAGTTGGGATATGAATAACCCACTCGTGTATCAAATTCCATTCAAATCCATTTAGCCGTTTCAACATGATTAAGTAACAAATCTGCTGGAAGAAAACAATGGAAAATAAGCATTACTTATTATAATTCTTACAAGTATTACAGCTAGACATTCAGCGTAGTTAACATATCAATAGATCTACTTGTTAGGTACGCAATTAGCATATACTCTAATTGCGTTTTATTAAATTAGAAACATGCGAGCTGAGATAAGAGTGAGTAATCTCGCTAGTGCAAGTGAAACTCGTGAAGCCCGCTTTTTTTGGGGCATTCATTAATCGACCGAAAGTTTGTACTTTTTACTAATTAGTAGGTATTCTGATGTAGTAATAGTGGCTTAGTAATATAAGGGAAATTATGAAATAGTTGCTGGAAATGTTTTAAAAATACAGATTGGTTTTAATATCTAATAGAATATTTAAATTTAGAACGCAGATTTCCGTATTTTTTTTTTCTGTAGAAAAATACTAAAAATACAATTGATGAAGTAAGAGATTTGTGTAATTGTGGGTGACTTGTGGGAGAAAAGCATTTGGTTAATGGTTTTCTACCTACCTCATAAAAAAACTAGTGTGAAATATATTTAATCAGAAATAAATCAATACCTTCGTCGATATCGTTCCTTGCAGCGGCTTCGAGCAGCATCACGCTGTCATTGAAGTAGATGTTCCGTTTGGCACTCTTCTCTCGTTTGGGCCGCGATCGCGCCCATTCCTTCTCTCGCTGCTGCCATATCTTTAATTGGTTAATACGTCGTCTGAAATGAAAAATATTTTATAATTAATTTGGTAGAACTTACTCCGAACTATAAAATATGGATATATATCATTTTTCTTTCTAAAATCGATTAAAAATAAACAAACAAGTTCTTCAACAGAATTATTACACTTACAAGGTATTGTGAGAAACTTGTTCAATTTAAAAGATTCAGTTCATATTTCGTGAAACTGACGTCGTTTAGTATCCTAAAAGAAACAGTCTTCGGATAAGTTGTTTAGTATGAAAAATAATCAAAAACAAATCATCATCACTTCAACTTCTTCACGGTCTACTGTTAATTGCAGGTCTCCATTATATTTTATCATAAGTATGGTCCTGAACTACGTACATCCTTCCTGCAAAAGTAATCACTTCCTGCTCCACTGTCCATTCATACAGTGGAAAGAAAAGACATAACTTAAAACATATCCATATTGAAGTCCTTGTGATAAGTAATGTATATGTAATAGTTATGTGCAAAGCATTGACGCCAGTCATTTGACCCCCAACCCATTCCATAAGTAATATATTGACACAATTGATATACAATTGACGTTACACCCTGTAAATAGATGGCGTGTCTACTCTATTACCAATATAAATATCTATATATCCCCTTATTGATATTTACCTACATTCTATGTAGTCTAGTGGAATATTATGTCTTTAAAACTGTTTTTTTTTAATTATATTTATAATGGCCAACAAGCAAACGGTCCACCTAATGGAAAGTAGTACCCGTTTCATATAGACAAACAGCACCATAGACCTCACAGAATACATTGCGACACCTATGGTATTTTACCTATGGTATTTTTCAACCGTTGCCATTCCTGAGGACTAATATATAGGATTATTATATCCCATATATTATCCTATTATTATATCCTATATATAGGTTATAGCATTACTCGCGTGTCTGTCTGTCTGTCTTACACAGTCAATTTACTTCGAAACTATTGGACCCATTGAGTAGAAATTTGCTACATATATATAATTCAGTGACACAAAGACGGACGTGTAAAGTTAATAAATAAATTTTAAACACGGGGATCTTTTTGAGAGGAAAATAAGAAAATTAAAAATAAAGTTTTGTAAACTATATCGTGTGGCATATCAAATGAAAGGGCTTATCGTGAAAATCACAATTATATTTTTTTAAATTTTAAAAGAAATAGTTTTGAAGTTATTTACGAAAATAGGCGAAATTTTACCATGTCCCCGTCTCCAAAACTACTCGGCCTAAAATTGTGAAAGAAATACAGAAAATAGTTTTTTACCTACCTACAGACTACAAAAAAACTTATAAGTCCATGGTATTGAAAGTAACATAAGAAATTTCTCAATATTTGTGCGTATGAATTTCATTTGCAGTTCTCATGTTAAAACCATTTTGCTTCAAATATACTAAATAATCAACGTTCAGAACCCAGTGGGTTATTCACACTTGGCCGATTTTTTTAATAGAATAAGTTTGACACAGATGATTGTAATAGTTAGTACATTGCTCCTATTATAAATATTATCTAGACAAGACGTCGGTTGTTTAGAGATTAGATTTTTTAGAGATAAGATAGAAAAAGAAGATTCTAAATTCATCTACAACACTTTTTATTGCTATGTTATGTTATGTTATCAATTCAAAACCTTTAGTATTTTTTACAATCAATCGGGTTTACTCTCGTATCCGGTTCCATATTCATTGTGATGATTGAAGTTGCCGTTTTTCATTACGGATGAAAAAACTGTTACGAAGCTAAATTTACTTGTCAACACGAATCTACGTTCTTAATTCAAATATATTCAATGTAATTAGCTTACGAAATATCTCGTTTGTCGATGCCTATCATTAATATTAAAAATTAAGATTGAAGTCAATTTTTTTACGGAGTAAAATGTTGTTTTGAAACGAAATGTTACAGTAGAAAAATGTTAGTAGTCGTCCAATTAGTGCGTTATCTCTGTAGTCGCGAAAGCAGTGCATAATGCAATACCTACACTCGGGATGGTTAACGAATGGAGACCAGTTTGAAAGTTGTGAAATGTAAACGGTTCATATTATCACACATAAATTACTCAAATCCTTATAATTCGTTTTGTTTTAATTGGACTTAGCATTTTTTTATTGAACAGTTTATCGTTTTTGAATGTCGAAATAATTAAGGTAAAATAACCAAATTAAATATTTTTTTTATCTCATATCTTGATCGTCTTTTTGTCCTATTAATATATATATAATATTATTTTTTCCTGTTTCGTAAACGGTCAACAAGAAAACAAGTCTAAAAGACCACAACATGTAAATCATTTTAAAATTATACAAATAAACATTAAAATTTACTAGTTTTTGTCTTAGGGTATTCAATTCACTTAAAGGTTTAAATTTTGGCTGGACCAATCCTAATTTCAGGGTTTCGAAGGCAAATGATAAAAATGGAACTCTCATAATTTCGTCATATCTATTTATCCTTCTATATTTATATTTAGCAACTTAAATACGAACTTCATGATTTTTCGCCCGGACATTTCCCTAACCCAACACTATGAGAACTTTAAAGCTTAATTTACATTACGAAACACCAGTAATGTGAAACTAAATGCATAACATTACGTTCGTCAACAAACATTGAAGTCGATTGAATATCATATCCTAGATACTTATACGAGGTCTGTCCGGAAAGTTCGTATAAAAGTGTTCTGGAATGCGAGAAAGAGGAGTGGGGAGGCTTCATGTCCCTAACAATGCTTCATTCTGGTCTGACCGCCGTGCGGTGCGACATTGTCACGCCATCTGTGAACCCAACACTCGGCATGGAGCCCGCTTCCGTTGAAGAGCAACGTCGTAATCAAGTTTCTCTCGAAACTTACATTTTTTGCGATCTCACACCAGGGGATGATGCTGTGAAGGACCAAATGCAAAAAGATTCAGACATTCAAGATGACCCACGTTCAGGACGTCCTTCCAACATTCCGACGAAAACGTGGAAAGAATTCGAACTTGTGTTAATGGGGACCGTCGTTTAACGGTCAATAAGAGCTCAATTTGGGCAAAACCGTATCCACGAAATTCTAAGAAACGAACTTCAAATGAAAAAAATTTGCGCCAAGATCGTTCCGTGAGTTTTTGAGTAAAAATTCCATTACACAACAAATTTGGCCCCGTGTGACTTCTTCTTGTTCCCAAAAACCAAATTGGTAGAATTTGGGGGACATAAATGAGATAAAAAAAGCACGACCATGTCAACCAGAGGACTTTCAATTCTCACAGTGGAAACGGCGTTTCATTATGTCACTTTTTTTGATTTACCTGAATAATTGTAAAATAAAAATTTTAAAAAACTTTTATACGTACTTTCCGGACAAACCTCGTATTTGCTACCTACACAACAAACCGCCCAATTTTAGAATACTCATAATGATGAGTATTCTAAATAGTGTCGTGATAATATTTCAAACCTTTTTATAGTTATGTTACTCGATTGCGTCGCCAATTCTGTACCGACTTTCGTATCTTTTTTTTAATATCGATAAGATTTTTTTTGTGTTTGTACTAAGCAGCTTTTTCTGCGGAAGAAAAATATTTGTTGAAATAAAAGTTTTTACAAAATTACTTTAACAAAAGCACTTCAAGCTTTTGCATTAATACAAATAACAAAAATGTTACTGACGTCATTGACAGGTATTTCCGCGGCGGTATCCGTAGCAAAACTTTTATGGTTCACGCTTTTAGCAATGGGATTATTTTCTTAACAGCGACCTGTCATGCAATCGTAAAAGTGAAAACAAGGTTTCACTTGATATCAGGCTGCTGTTTGTTTCATAACGCTCATTGCGAGCAGGTTGTTAGTTGAACTATAACTCTGATTTTACAAACAGCAAAACATCCAGAAACACCGAAACGAATATTGTATGACGAAAAAATTACTAAGTCTGAGCAATAAAAACAATTGAGACAATAACCCTATCGATTTCAAAAAGAATTACCAAAATCAGTTCAAAATTGATAGATATCGCAAAGCCGAAATACAACAAGAAATACAAACAATTTGACAAACTTCTTTTGTTGGGTCACCTAAAAACAAGGTTAATACGATGATCCATACCGTGACTAGAACCAAAGTGAGTTACACTAAGTACTACTTTATGGTACTTTGTGGTGTATGGTTTTGTCAGAACAGCTGCATGGTATTATAATTGTCGTATATATAATGGTAATACATATATACCATTGTCGAATTGATTGTCATGGATGAAGGTGGCTCAGGACCGTTCCTTATGGCAGTCTATGTGGAGGGGCGGAGGGAGGACGACTATGTCCAGCAGTGGACAGATAATGGGCGAGATGATGATGATGATTACCATTATCATTATTATGATTATTTCTTGTAATTGTTCATATTTATAATAAGTTTACTATTGTAGTCTTTTGGAGGAAACAATAAAGAGTATCTATCTATCTATTATCACCGAATCGATATAAATCACCTATCTGAGGGCCTACTATGAAATATTTTCCGAACCAAACGAAACACAAATTTGATGTTAAAATTACTTAATACATGCTGTTTGGGTATATTAAAAATGTTAAAATATTGTTCCTTTGGACTTTTATGATAGGATGTATGACGAACGAAATGTTACTCCATTTATTGGTCCGATTTTGGTATAAACAAAAACACGAAATTGAGTCCGAAATTTCGAATTTTTATTGCATGGTAGACCCGCTGATCCTAATGCGATGATTGTTGATAAAGTGAACCAGCGAGCCTATTGCTAGTAACGTAGGTTACGTTGACGTTAGGTCGATTTCCATGCTGTCCACGCTATAAACCATGGTTAATTGTTGATGAATTCATCACGATGGACCGACTGGCCTGCTTTCATCCTCACCTATCATCCTTCACTTGTGTCTCGCCAGCGTATACCGATAGCGCAGATAAAATAATTTCAATTTCATCTATAAAAATTTTCGGCACAAGCAAGTGCTCGAAAAATGCT